TAACTTCAAAATAATTATGGATTCCATTGAGGACTACGCCAGAGCATGGGCTAAACGAGAAGAAGTTCAACTAGACACTTTGTCAGAATGGGTCAAAACAATCAGGTCTCTGATAAAACGTCGCATTCATAAGTTGAAAAACTGTGTGAATGATCGACCAAAGTCCGTTTTCAAAGACAAAGAGGCTGTGAAATGTTTATCATCTCTTCAAGATAAGTATGTTGTTGTTCCTGCGGACAAAGCTTCATATAATATTGTATTTATATGTAAATCGTATTACTACGAGTGTCTTGTAAAAGAATTAGGAATAAATGAGCACTCAGGTAATCCCACATACAAAAACATATCATTTGACAAGGATGAGATTTTGGCGAATCATAAGCCCTTCATGGCCTCAATGAACATTGCATTGAACAACAAATCGGAGGACTTACCTTGTTTGTATTGGATACCTAAACTTCACAAAATTCCGTACAAACAACGGTACATTGCCGGCTCATCTGCATGTTCCACTAAAGAATTGTCCATTAGATTGACTAAAATTCTGTCCGCAGTGAAAGAGGGTCTTCAGAAATACTGTGAAACTGCTTACTTTCGTAGTGGTATTAACCATTTGTGGATTCTTAAAAACTTTAAAGAACTTCTGGATAATTTTAAATCTCTGTCTTTTTCTGAAATTCGTTCTATCAAAACTTTTGATTTTTCAACCTTGTATACCACCATTCCCCATGTGAAATTGAAAAACTGTCTAAAAGAAATAATCCACAATGCTTTTCATCATAAAAATGGTAGCATACGCTATAAATTTATTACTTTGGGATACCATAAGGCATATTTTGTTAATAGTGAACAAAAGGGTAAAACATGCTACACAGAGGAACAAGTGATCAGTATGCTGGAGTTTCTTATTGACATCATATTTGTTGAATTTGGAGGTAGACTTTTTCAACAAATTGTCGGCATTCCTATGGGAACGAACTGTGCGCCTCTCCTTGCCGACCTCTTCTTATTTTCATATGAATCGGAGTTCCTTCAGACACTTGTCAAAAACAAGAAGATCAAAGAAGCCAGGTTATTTAATTTCACTTTAGATATATTGATGATGTTCTTTCCATTAACAATCCGAACTTTTCTGATTGGGTTCCATTAATATATCCACCAGAACTAGAAATTAAAGAAACAACAGACACGGTTTCCTCCGCCTGATTTTTTAGACTTATACCTCGAATTTGACATACACAGTCATCTCAGTACCAGAATCAATGACAAACGAGACGATTTTAATTTTGAAATTATCAATTTTCCCCACCTTAGTAGCAATATACCAACTTCACCTGCATATGGGATATACATTTCCCAACTTATTCGGTATTCAAGAGCTTGCAACTCCTACTCAGACTTTGTAAAACGTCACCAGTGTCTGAGCAGAAAGTTGATGAACCAGGGGTATGTCAAAGAACGTCTCGTCCTTTTTCTAAAAAAAGTTCATCGGAAGGTACCAAGAACTTGTTGATAAATATTCCGTTTCAACTTCACAAAAAATACACGATGGTCTTGAAGTATAGATTTTGCATACTGACGTTGTTTATCATCTTAATAACGTGTTATAGTATTCTTTTATTTATCTTTATTAATATTACTTTTACTGTTAAGTCTGGTTTTTTTTTGAGATATCCATTTGTCGTGACTCTGTGCTTATGTATCCCGTCATACTTTGAACGACAAAATTATTTTATTTATTAATATTACTTTTACTGTTGAGTCTGTTTTTTGTGATATACATTTGACGTGACTCTGTACTTATGTATATCATCACACTTTGTTCCACACAATTATTTTATTTTATTTATTAATATTACTTTTACTTATAAGTCTGTTTTTTGTTATATCCATTTTACGTGACTCTGTATTTATGTATCCCCTCATACTTTGAACGACAAAATTATTTTATGTCTACCTGTGCGAATTTCAAACGTGCGATTTTACGCCAGTACTTAAAACCTTTCATCCTTTATGGGTGGATTTTACATAGATAAATAAAATCGTATAATATAAGCAAAATGAGGATGTTAAATTTGATGTATGCCTTTTGTGCTTCTTCGTTACATTTGTTTGTTTTTATAGTGATTAAGATGATAACACAATGTTGAAGGTTGTACCCCTATTTTTGACATTTTTACCTATTGTGTCTGTTTGTTTTGTTCACGCATCGTTGTCAATATAATGGAATTTGATGCGACTGTCATACAAGTGAGAGGTTTAGCTAGCTATAAAACCAGGTTCAATCCACCATTTTCTACATAAGAATTTTCAAAATGCCTGTACCAAGTCAGGAATATGACAGTTGTTATCCATTCGTTTGATGTGTTTGAGCTTTTGATTTGCCTTTTGATTATGACTTATATCTAGAAATTGACTATGAGGGTCGGTTGAAAACAAAACTTTACGACAAAAGAGAAGATTTCAGCTTCCCAAATGTGAATTTTCATTTTTAAACCAAGAGTTCCAAATGGTGAAGTTGAAATCATCACTTTGTAAATTTTACGGACACCATCACGAGTTGGTTGGCCGTTATGGAATATCCGTTTCACAGATGATATCGGATATGTTCCTTATGTCGTAACTACAATCCCGTTCCCTTTTCACGAATGTGACCTACCGAATTAGACTACCCCTATTTGTGACATTTTTACCTATTGTTCTTGTTTGTTTTGTTCACACATCGTTGTCAATATAATGGAATTTGATGCGACTGTCATACAAGTGAGAGGTTTAGCTAGCTTTAAAACCAGGTTCAATCCACCATTTTCTACATAAGAAAATGCCTGTACCAAGTCAGGAATATGACAGTTGTTATCCATTCGTTTGATGTGTTTGGGTTTTTGATTGGGGACTTTCCTTTTTGAATTTTCCTCGGAGTTCAGTATTTTTGTGATTTTACTCTATACTTCACCAGCGACGGTATCGCGATTTTTCGCGCGACAATCGCTTTATTAAAATCATTTTTAAATGACCAGAATAGTGATAATCATAAATACAATGCACTTTCTACAGAAATTCTACACCATTCCTACAGTTTTTCTAAATTATTGTAATGATCAATGGAAAGAGTAAATCGACGGTCTCGAGAAAACTGTCCCCCGGTGAAGTATAGATTTTTTTCAACATGTGAAATAATGGTGATTTATGCTCGGGGTTTTGCATATGTTACGGAAGGGCACAGTGCAGAAAGGGGTAGGAAGGGGTCTTATCCATAAATCCCGAATTAAAAAACATGAATGCCGAAGTCCCGAACAAAACCAATCCCGAATTCATCAAAAGAAAAACTGCTGGCTTCTTTGACCGTGAAAATGTTTCCAAGCTGAAGCGTTAAACTTAAAGAACTAGCAACATTTGTGGAGATTTGCCCAACTAATTGGCGATTGTTGTTGGCTATTGCATTCTTCAGATTATCCATCATGGCATTTCAGTTTATTCAGTCTGTGTCAGATTAGAGCATGAACCAATGACAACACCAAACATTATTCGCAACAGCATCCATAACAATAGCACGATTCCGATTAATTAATAATTAATTGCTAATCAATAAACCGATTACGGTACTGCTGTTACGTATGTTGACGTTGCTCTGTACTTTTAACGTTGAGAGACGTTTTTTTCTTTAATGAAAACAGGCAGAGGTAAATGTTAAAAGTTTATTGTATGGAAGTTTGCATAATATTCTTACATGTTTTTTTTTATATTTTGATTTTTTTTTGGTACGGTTTTCCGTACCTGCAGTTGAAATTGGTACGGTCGGAACCGTACCAACCGTACCGTGTGCTATGGCAGTGTTTTTAAATTTCTGTCTATTTGCACAGCGTTACAAAAGTACATAAAGCTTAGGACAGGTCATGTGAATCATTTAATTCTAGTTCATTGTTTTTCCACAAGGATTTATTTGCTATTTATAAGTATGTATTTGTACTAAAACTAAGGCTCAGTGTTCTATTTGAGCCTTTTTAATTCAACTGATTGATTGATTGATGGTGTTTAACGCAACTTTTGGCAATATGATAGTGGACCATTTTTATAAGTGGAGGCCAAAGTACCCTGAGAGAACCACCAGCCTTCAGTAGGAAAACTGGCAATTCTAGTCAATTAAGAAAGGTGTCAAACACACCTGCCAAGAGCAGGGTTCACAACCTAAGTGTTTCAGGGTTACAACAGTTACTGCTTTAAAGAGTCCACTGATGATTTCAGTCATATTGACCAATTCAAAACTCTTGTGTTGCTGATCATTAATGCTTTCAAAGTTTTAGTAGATCTATTAAAGTTTTCAAGACACATGTATAAGGTAAAAATGCTAAATCTTCATTTCAAGACAATTATTCCATCAACAGTCAACTGATGATTTTATATAGCTTTATATTTGTAGATCGTTTCTTGTTGATCCTTTTTGCTATTTAAAGTTTCTTCTAACTATTATAAGATAATGGTCAAAATTGCAACAAATTGTCATTTAAGGGCAAATAACTCTCATAAGAAATTGAAAACAATACGTTTAATAATTTCATGCATCCGACGCGCTTTTCTGAAGTTACCTTCATCAGGAACGCTCAAAGCTAAACATTAAAGAGTTGTCTGACAATTTTGGTCATTAGATAGATCTTTACATCTTGAACATTTTTGTCTAGTCAGATTATCTACATCAATAAAGACTCCTAGGTTCTATTTTCAACCATGGTGGTCATATGGGTTAAATGATCAGATATATTTTTTTAACTACATTTTGACTAGATGCACTCAGATTGATCATGCAGAAGTTTTGTTCTAAATGGCCAAGAAATTTCAGAGAGAAGATTTTTGTAAATTATAATGGAAGACAGAAGACTATGGTTGCCAAATGATGACAATATGTTACACTGGCCCTAAGGACCAGGTGAGCTTATAAAATGACTGGAGAAGAGTATGTGATGCAGTTTTTAATGAAAACTACAATTGCAAATAATAAAAAGACCCATTGTTTGATAATTTAATGCAAATTCATGGCCATAATTTAATAACATAAGAATCACTAACAGTAATAAGTCTTATCCATTTGTTTAAGTTTATTTTCTTTCCCATTTCTTGAACTTTGAGACCTTTTATTTGAAGTCCAGAACTTGTGTATCCAGATATCTCAAAATCCATCCTAATAGGACCAATATCATATTTCTTTATCTCTGAACTTGTACTATTTATCAACTGAAAAATATAAAAAAAAACATGAAAAACTTGCAGATACAATTGTACAGTCCACCAAAGTCATGTTACTAATCAGTTTTAAAAGAAAATGTACATTAGGGACCCAATATTGCACTTTAAAATAAATATATTCCATGTCTTTCAATTTGCATAATTGAATTTTAAAATTTGTTTTCTTCACTAAAACATTGCAATTTTTGATTAAAATGTTTCTTTTTTACAGGTTCATAGGCGTGACATACAATGTTATACTAAATTTAATACGACGATGAATTTATATGAACCTTGATCATGCTGGAAAAAAAAACACTAGATGTAGGCATTAGCCTCATCTTAAAGGCCTCACTGTTACCTTGTTATGAAGAACAGCTTTTAAAGCATTATTCCTTTGCTTTGGGTTTTTGTCAAGTGCATGTCAGAATATTGTGCCATGAATTAAAGTGGCATTATCTGCCAAGCTGATGTCCACTATATTTCAATTTCTCAAATTTGATTTTTTAACATACTTTTAACATCAGAACTACAAAATTTCCATAGGAATCAATAAACTGCATGGAATTGTTATAAAGAGAGTATCAATACTTCATAATAGAAAAGAAAGGATATGGGGTATCCATCCATGACATAAAATCAGTACATGTGTTTTACTGTGCGTATTGCTGTGTGTTTGTTTATTCTACATTGGCTAGAGGTAAAGGGGAGGGTTGAAATCTCACAAAACATGTTTAACCCCGCCACATTTTTGCACTTGTTCCAAGTCAGGAGCCTCTGGCCTTTGTTTGTCAGTCTTGTATGTTTTTTTTTAATTTTAGTTCCTTTATATGTTTCGGAATTTAGTGTGACTTCCATTTTCACTGAACTAGTACACATTTTTGTTTATGGGCCAGCTGAAGCCCGCCTCCGGGTGCAGGATTTTCTCGTTGTGTTGAAGACCCATTGAAGGCCTAAGGCTGTTTTCTGCTCTTTGGTCGGGTTGTTGCCTATCTGACACATTCCCCATTTCCATTCTCAATTTTATGCACAGCAAAAAAACATAAAAAGAAAAAAACAGCACTTTTATTGCTGTTCTTCAACTCAAAGTAGTTTCAGATGAAAAGATTTTGTAAAAGATGACAGATAATGAAAGCCAAGTAATGGCAAAAGCTCAGTGAGCTATTAAGGATATGAAGACAATTGTGAGATGCACAACAGCAATATATATAGTTAAGATTCGAGAAAGTTCATTAAGTTTTACTGAGGGGTTAATACAAATGGGTAACCCCAGATAAAGCAACCACAAATTCCATTATTTACTGAAAGAGACAAAAAAAAATTTGGTAAAAAAAGCAAAATAAGAGTCTACTAAAATTTCAGTAAATTCTAACTAGGGGAGTAGGAGTAGAAGTGAATACAAATGTGTAGTATAATGTTAGGATGTGACAAATATAAAATTACATGTAGTATGATTGCCAACTATCCAAAAAGTCCTTTTCAGAACAAAGCAAACCCCAAAAAATCCATTGGACGAGGAAATTTGGTTTCTGCAAGCAAAGCTGGAAAACAATACGCCCTGGCCCTTGCAAGTATTATGATTCTCTTAGGTAAACCTCAAAACAGTTTAAGATTAGAAAACAAAATAAGAAGTGCTTAATGACATTATATAGTAAAGAGTCTGAGAAAGTTTCCATACATTCTAAAAGAGACTTCTGAACTTATTCACTTAACTTAAGTATCTGACCTATCTCACATACATATAACGCATTTGTAATGTTTCATTGCTCATTAGAAATGTATTCTAACTCCAATACTGAATGGTTAAGTTTAAATTATGAATTAGTAATGTTTCAAGTTCTGTTGACTGTAATAAGGGGTTAAGGAGTAGTTGCAGATACATAAATAATTTTGAGCAAAAGTAAAATAGGAGATGCACTAAGGCATTATATGGCTGAGATTCTGAGAAAGCTTGAATTAATTCTTATAAGGGGTTATGGAGGAGTTAATGATACAAAATGGGTACATTCTTATATAAAACAGCATCATTAGTGTTAGATTCTTTGAAAGTATCCGAAAAATCTGTAAATCAGTCCAGGAGCAGCTGCAGATACAAAATTTGAATGGAAAAATATGAAAAGTCTTCCTCATGACTGTATTCCACCCACTTCAAGAAAGCAGGTTTTACAAAATGCTGTACATAGAAAAAACTAGAGGCTCTCAAGAGCCTGTGTCGCTCACCTGACTCTACTTTGGTTTTAGAAATCATGTAAAGATAGATAAAAATCATAACAGATACCCAAATAATGATTGAGGCCAAATTTTGATTAATATTGGTCCTGTTATTTAATAAAATATCCTGGTGGCCATCTTGAACAGTAAATCGGCAACAAAGTAGCAACACTTGGTCAGCACTTCATAAGGAACATTCATGCCATGTTTGGTTTCATTCCATTCAGTGGTACTCTAAAAGAAGACATGTGTATGTATTTCCCATAGGGTCCTATGTTAAACTAAGTTCCCCGATGGCGGCCATCTTGGATGATGGACCGACTGCAAAGTAACAACACTTGGTCAGCATCTCATAAGGAACATTCATGCCATGTTTGGTTCCATTCCATTTAGTGGTTCTCTAAAAGAAGACATTTTTATGTATTTCCCATAGGGTCCTATGTTAAACTAAGTCCCCCGCTGGCGGCCATCTTGGATGATGGATCGGCTACAAAGTAACAACACTTGGTCAGCACCTCATAAGGAACATTCATGCCATGTTTGGTTTCATTCCATTCAGTGGTTCTCTAAAAGAAGACATTTGTATGTATTTCCCATAGGGTCCTATGTTAAACTAAGTTCCCCGATGGCGGCCATCTTGGATGATGGATCGGCTACAAAGTAACAACACTTGGTCAGCACCTCATAAGGAACATTCATGCCATGTTTGGTTTTATTCCATTCAGTGGTTCTCTAAAAGAAGTCATTTGTATGCATTTCCCATAGGGTCCTATGTTAAACTAAGTCCCCCGTTGGCGGCCATCTTGGATGATGGATCGGCTACAAAGTAACAACACTTGGTGAGCACCTCATAAGGAACATTCATGCCATGTTTGGTTTTATTCCATTCAGTGGTTCTCTAAAAGAAGTCATTTGTATGCATTTCCCATAGGGTCCTATGTTAAACTAAGTCCCCCGCTGGCGGCCATCTTGGATGATGGATCGGCTACAAAGTAACAACACTTGGTCAGCACCTCATAAGGAACATTCCTGCCATGTTTGGTTTCATTCCATTCAGTGGTTCTCTAAAAGAAGACATTTGTATGTATTTCCCATAGGGTCCTATGTTAAACTAAGTTCCCCGATGGCGGCCATCTTGGATGATGGATCGGCTACAAAGTAACAACACTTGGTCAGCACCTCATAAGGAACATTCATGCCATGTTTGGTTTTATTCCATTCAGTGGTTCTCTAAAAGAAGTCATTTGTATGCATTTCCCATAGGGTCCTATGTTAAACTAAGTCCCCCGTTGGCGGCCATCTTGGATGATGGATCGGCTACAAAGTAACAACACTTGGTGAGCACCTCATAAGGAACATTCATGCCATGTTTGGTTTTATTCCATTCAGTGGTTCTCTAAAAGAAGTCATTTGTATGCATTTCCCATAGGGTCCTATGTTAAACTAAGTCCCCCGCTGGCGGCCATCTTGGATGATGGATCGGCTACAAAGTAACAACACTTGGTCAGCACCTCATAAGGAACATTCATGCCATGTTTGGTTTCATTCCATTCAGTGGTTCTCTAGAAGAAGTTCAAAATGTAAAAAGTTAACGCCGACGACGGACGACGGACGCCAAGTGATGAGAAAAGCTCACTTGGCCCTTCGGGCCAGGTGAGCTAATAATGAAATTACCATTTTAGGTCCCTTTGGTCCCTTTCTTGCAAACAAGATAAGCCCTTATTTCCAAATTTATTTAATATAAACAGGATGAAAATAAGAGTTACAATACATGCCCGAGTCATTATGTGTGCACGCGTGAGTGTTAATTAACACTATTCTAGACACCAATGAGGATAGTAGTTACACTCCATACCTTGATATGAACACATAACTGTTATTATCATTGTAAATCTGTGATATTATACGAGTAATAAAGACAAATAAAACATACTCTAAAATTTGCTACATATTCGGCTCTGCCAGGAAATTTCTTCATGGTCCATACTATATCCTGATTTTCTGTTAATTCTGCTGTTTGATCTGGTTCATTCAATTGCTGAGACATTCTAAAAATATAATTTTTTTCATTAATGATAAAAAAAATCTTTGAAATACCATTTAGAACTGATATGGTACTTGTCTGTAAAACATATACCAATAGGTTATGCTAAGACTTTAATATAATTTCCATGTATATCTTATATGTGTACATCAATATCAGATTTCAAATGTATAGTTTGTCACATCTATAATAGGAGAGGGTTTTATAATTGCTGTATGTTGGATCAACTAAACACTCAAACTAAATGCAGTACTACTTGTAACAGAAGCATGAATGTTTGAAGCACAGTTTTTCTGTTTTTTGTATTGTTTAGTTGCTGACTCCTTGACATTTACCCCATATCTATCTATCATGTTGAAAATTTAAGAACTAGCAAAATTTCAAAGTTAAAGGTGCATGAATGTTTTTTTGGCATCATATATTGGTTGTTATTAAAATACAATAAATAATGCAAATGTATAAATAAATATCAATGGTCTATTGTTATTAGTTATTTCAAATGGATTTAAATCAGAATAAAATGCTTCGCTGGGGCGCAGCTTGATACGACCGCAGAGGTCGAACCCTGAACAGTTGGGGCAAGTATGGACACAACATTCAAGCTTGATACAGCTCTGAATTTGGATTGTTATTAAATATTTGACACAGCATAGGTTTCTGACACAGAAAGAATGTGGTCTAAGAACTTGATTTTTTTTAATTTACCTATTATGGTCCAATGTCCAAAATCAAAATACATGGTTAGATTCAGCATAATCAAAGAACCCCATATATTCAATTTTTGTTAAAATCAAACAAAGTTTAATTTTGGACCCCAACTTGGACAAACTTGAAAACTGGGCCCATAATCAAAAATCTAAACACATGTTTAGATTCAGCATATCAAAGAACCCCAAGAATTCAATTTTTGCTAAAATCAAACTAAGTTTAATTTTGGACCCTTTGGACCTTAATGTAGACCAATTTAAAAAACGGGACTTAAAATTAAAAATCTAAATACACGGTTAGATTTGGAATATCAAAGAACCCCAATAATTCAATTTTTGATGAAATCAAACAAAGTTTAATTTTGGACCCTTTTGACCTCAATATGAACCAATTTGATAGCGGGGCCCACAAATAAAAAATCTAAATTCATGGTTAGATTCAGCATATCAAAGAACCCCATATATTCAATTTTTGTTGAAATCAAAAAAAGTTTAATTTTGGACCCCAACTTGGACCGACTTGAAAACTGGGCCCATAATCAAAAATCTAAACACATGTTTAGATTCAGCATATCAAAGAACCCAAAGAATTCAATTTTTGTTAAAATCAAACTAAGTTTAATTTTGAACCCTTTGGACCTCAATGAAGACCAATTTAAAAAACGGGACCCAAATTAAAAATCTAAAAACACGGTTAGATTTGGCATATCAAAGAACCCCAATAATTCAATTTTCGATGAAATCAAACAAAGTTTAATTTTGGACCCTTTTGACCTCAATATGAACCAATTTGATAGCGGGGCCTACAAATAAAAAATCTAAATACATGGTTAAATTCAGCATATAAAAGAACCTCATATATTCAATTTTTGTTGAAATCAAACAAAGTTTAATTTTGGACCCCAATTTGGACCAACTTGAAAACTGGGCCCATAATCAAAAATCTAAATACATGTTTAGATTCAGCATATCAAAGAACCCCATATATTCAATTTTTGTTGAAATCAAACAAAGTTTAAATACTGGACCCTATCTTGGACCAACTTGAAAACTGGGCCCATAATCAAAAATCTAAACACATGTTTAGATTCAGCAAATCAAAGAACCCCAAGAATTCAATTTTTGTTAAAATCAAACTAAGTTTAAATTTGGACCCTTTGGACCTCAATGTAGACCAATTTAAAAAACAGGACCCAAAATTAAAAACCTAAATACACGGTTAGATTTGGAATATCAAAGAACCCCAATAATTCAATTTTAGATGAAATCAAACAAAGTTTAATTTTGGACCCTTTTGACCTCAATATGAACCAATTAGATAACGGAGTCCACAAATAAAAAATCTAAATACATGGTTAGATTCAGCATATCAAAGAACCCCATATATTCAATTTTTGTTGAAATCAAACAAAGTTTAATTTTGGACCCCAATTTGGACCAACTTGAAAACTGGGCCAAAAATCAAAAATCTAAATACATGTTTAGATTCAGCATATCAAAGAACCTCATATATTCAATTTTTGCTAAAATCAAACAAAGTTTAATTTTGGACCCTTTGGACATTAATGTAGACCAATTTGAAAACTGGACCCAAAATTAAAAATCTAAATACACTGTTAGATTCGGCATAACAAATAAATAAATGTGATCAAAGATTTTACAAATCTAATGCGCCATACTGTGCAATTAAAGATTACTTCTTGAAATTTTTCAATATTTGAAATTTGAAAAAAAAAAAATATTTGAAGAATAATTCTTTTTAATTTCTGAAATCTGAAATGAGAAAAAATTGGCCCCCCACAATTTCTTTTTATCCCCCCCCTTTTTCCCCCAAAAAAATTCTTTCCCTCAAGATATGGTCATAATCTCAATTCAAATTTCCAATGGAGTTGGCAACCATAATTACCCATTTAAATTTACCATAGTGCTAACTTAATCTATTTTATAATAGAATTAATAAAAATATAGTGTCAAATCTTTCATATGGATTTTTTTGTAAAAAAAAAAGATGAAAACATTTGCAGATATTTTTACTGGTCTTCCTTTATAAATATGCATTTCTTTAAACATAATTTAAAAGCAGTGTAAGGGAAGTAACCAAAACGTTGTATTTGGATTACCTCCCTTACACTGTTTTAGATTATCTTTATTGTTCATTAACCATTACTTTATACATAATTTAAAAGCAGTGTAAGGGAGATAATTTCAATGATGTATTTGATTTATCTCCCTTACACTGCTTTAAATTATGTTTTGTACTAAAGTATTTGTCCATTAACCAGGACAACCTTGTTTTTCCCCCTTTTTTGCCCCTAATTCCTAAACGGTTTGAGCCATAACCCCCCAAAGCAAATCCTAACCATCCCTTTGTGGTATGGAAACTTGTAGTATAATTTCAGAGAGATCCATACACCGTTCCACAGTTATTGTCTGGAAACTAGAAAATGCTCATTTTTGGCCCCTTTTTGGCCCCTAATTCCTTAACTGTTGGTACCATAACCCCCAAAATCAATCCCAACCTTCCTTTTGTGGTATTTAACCTTATGGTCAAATTTCAAAAAGATCCATTCACTTAAACTAAAGTTAGAGTGCGAAAACCAATATGTATTCAGACGACGACGCCAACGTCATACCAATATACGACCACAAAATTTTTTTGCGGTCGTATAAAAATAACGTACACCTTATCACTATTTATTCCTATCCCGATAAGTTCTAAAATTACACAACTTTTCAAACCAGTTGAAGCTATCTGGGGCCTAGTTCAAACATTATATTGTGCATAAAACTGTTAACAGAGACATGTTTAAATCATCGTAAACACATCAAACAAAGCATTTCAATGACTTTAATTTGTCTTTTAAAAATTGCTTCTTAAACTACCAAAATTTTAAAATGTCCACTTTTAAAACTTTTTCCTCTCTCAGCTCATCGCTGATGACCTTTGTTTTGTTCCGCTTGCCCTCATCAGAAAGTTGTCCAAGTAACTGTTTTTCCCAGATTGGACTAAATAGCGATAAGGTGTATTGGATAATAATTATACCTAAAATTCATCTCAGGACAGCCAAAAAAAAAATAAACAAAAAATAAACAAAACAAAACATCAACTACCGGTACCGAACATTCAAAATGAAATAGGCCATTTGGGAATTATTTAACAATAAAGCCAATCCTTACAATCTTCAAAATTCTTTTATCTATGACACATGTGCTAGACATATTTCTGTACTACATGGGGCCCATTGACCACTTACAAGATTCGGAATAATCTTTGCTTCTTGTATTGTTTAAACCATGTTTTTGAAAATGCTTACGGTAATGGATCACTTAGCAAAATCAGTCAAGTGAGCTTAAAAGGTGCATAACATAAATACACAACGTACCTACTAACACATCTTGGTATTTTCAGTCTAATGATGACTTTGACAGCATTATAATTTGATGGAAGCTCATTTTTTAATCGTAGCGTAAGTATTTTGTCTCTGAAAAGGAAAGATAACTTTAACATTTATTATTTACTTATGTTTTATTAACAAACAAAATCATCACAACGAAAAAATGTGCGAGTCTTCCTTGGATGACATGTGTGGCCTGCTGTCTCTGAATAATATAAAAAGAATAGATAGGGAAGTTAATGTTTTTGATATGTTAACCCCTCAAAAAAAAACAAAAAAACTTCATGTCATGTAGGAGAAATAGTGCAGATTTGGTTGTTTTTCAGCAAGCAGTTTTCAAGGAGTTGCAGATAAGCAGAGTGTGCTGGGGATGACAACAATACAGAATGACGGAATTGATCTCTATGAATTGCTACAGATTTGTTGTTGAGAAACAAACTAACTTGAAGACTGTTTAAGAATGTTTGAGGGATTCTAAAAGTTGGAACTCAAATCTGTTGAAATGAAATGATTTTTTTGTAACAGAATTTGTTCCTACATAAGTTACAATTGTGAGGTACTTTCTCAAAAATGGACATTCGGAATTTACATGCATGTGATTGAACAAAAAAGAAAACAGAAAAAAAAAGAGAAGTCGTCAGAAAAGTTACCATAGTTGGTTTTGTTATCTTTTTAAAATTTAATGTTTACTGAGTGAGTTAAAGTTCTAGAAAAGTGGAGGTCAAAAGGTTTTGACCACCAAAATTTACTAAGTTTTATATTTTGCAACAGAAACAATAGTGAGGATCAGCAGATTTTCTTCAATGACCACCAGGGAAAGAAATATTTTAAGAACTCTGTGAATAACAAGTATTCTTCCAATTACTAGTTATATAAAGTCACTTCATAGAATCTCATTTTTGTAAACTTTGTAAAATTTTATAAAAATGAGATTATGTTCAAAATTCACAAAACCTAAGACGGTTTATTTAGATAACAATATATATTACTCTTTTTTCCATCTGTTTTTTTTTTGCTAAATTCTTGTATAATAAACTGTTTGAGTTCAAAAATCTTCAAAAACAATTATTAAAAATCCAAATTTTACATGAGGTAACTGATTTTATATCCTATGATTTTCTGACAATCATACAAACTCTAAATTACCTAAAAACACATACCTACTATTTTCAGCATCATCTATAAAGGCTAGAACTCTGAATGGCACATTTAATGCTATTTCTCCACTGGTACTGTAAAGCATGGCTGAAAACTAAAACAAACAACAGACCATGTACATACACTGGATATACTGTATGAATTAGATATATAGTAAAGTTACATTGTGATATTGTATCTATATAAAAATAAAAAGATGAGGTATGATTGCCAATGAAACACCTCTCCACCACAGACCAAATTCACATTTAGACTTGAACTTGAGACTACATCATTATTTTTACTTATATTTTTAATAGTTCATATATATTGGTGCTTTCGGTGGTGGGTTTACAATGTAATTCACCTCAATCTACCTTTTACTTACACAATCATTAAGAAAATATATTAAATAATTCATATCTGAATTATCTTTTGCTGAAGTAACATGATATCACATCTGCATGTCTAACTACTTAAAATTTTGAGAAGGAAAAAAAGATGCAAGAGTAGAAAAAAATTATATGGAGTTTAAACAGTTGCCATCTCTGAGTCTAATGCATGAAATGGTGAATTGCTGAAAACAATAATCAATAATCCCCCCCCCCAACCTACACACACACTTTTTGGGAGTTTTTCTTGCCTGCTTTACTGATCATGATAGAATTATGTTTTTAAGATAAAGGTTTTACTAATAGTATTACATAAACTGAACATTATTGGTGAACAACGAAAATGAGGTCAAAGTCAGATAAACACTTAAAGACAGAGTTGTACTTCTTACAATCGTACTTCATACGATCATTCCTCCATACACCAAATATATTTGAACTATAGTATCTGAGAAATATACATAAGGCCCGAGAACACAGTTATTTCGTAGTGCATTTCTTTTAGACAATAAAGTCAAATTAAAAAAATAGCACCTGCTCTATCTCAAAAAGATTTTTACAGTGTAGTGTACTACTATTGGGACAAATAATATCAAAATTATAGAAAAGGCTACCAGCTCTAACTCAAAATATTGACAATTCTATGTTAAGGGGGTCTAAAATTCAGTTTGACAGCTTCAGACATACTAGTTTTTGACCTTTTTTAACTGGACCAAATCACTACTTAACATAAAGATTCAGCACCCAAATTTTTTTAACATGTAATTTCATCCCCTTACTTAATATTTAATGCATAAAATATAAAGAAATAAATTTTGAAAGTGTATGAAAAAAGTTTGCAAGTTAAACACTGTCCACACTAGGGACTATATTTGTAGACAACGAAAATCTGAGGACGATAACTGTGTCCTCGGACCATAACCAGGAAACGATGAAAATGAGTTAAAAGTCAGATGAACCCTTTCAGACTGACATGTAAACCTCAAAATCATTCCATACACCAAATAAAGTTGACCTTTTGCTTATAGTATCTGAGATATGGACTTGGCCACAAAATGAGGTCAAGATCAGGTGAACTCTGTCTGACAGACACATAAATCCAATATATCAAATTAATTATCCTATTACTCATTTAAGTGAGAAATTCATGCAGTAAAAATACTGTACTGTTTTTTTTTACAATCTAATTAAAATACAGATTCTGTATCCATGCTTTGATTACAAGGATTTGACAACACTCTGTTCTACTTTTTGTTCTGATAACTTTTATATCAAGAAATGAAGTTTCTTCCTCCAAATTTTTGAGGGTGTGTATCATAACGATAAAAACCTCAGGATCCTGAAAGGTCGTTTAAACAGAAAGCAGAATGGAGCATTTTCAAATCCTTGTAGCGAAGATTGGACACAGGATCTGTATTTCTATCAGATTATTTTTTTTTAATGCATAAATTTCTCACTTACATGAGTATACAGTTATTTAGCAGTTTTTTAAACCATGTGAATGAGATCAAGGATAATGTACATATGACAGATGAAAACTTCAGAAAATAAGATATACAAGTTATGAAGTATCCTTGTTTACTACGCTCTGAAAAATATTTAATTTATACAAATATTTTATGATGTCACAACCACAACCTGATTATCATCCCTATGGATTGCATTCTGCAATGAGAGAAAATGGCCAATCCACACAAGGAAATGTTTAATCGGAAATTAGAATAAAAAACTCACAGATATAAATTTAATATTTGTCTAAGCAAATTGTGGTGTCTGATAAATGCACCGATTGTAAATCAATTGAAATAAAATGCTCTGATAGCGCAGCCTGATACGACCGCATTGGTCGAACCCTGAACAGTTGGGGCAAATTTGGACACAATATTCAAGCTTGATACTATCTGAATTTAGATTGTGATAAAATTTTTGACATAATATAGGTTTCTGACACAAAATAAATGTGGTCAAAGATCTTACAAATCTAATGCGCAATACTGTGCAAATGAAGATTTCTTCTTGAAACTTTTCAAAAATTTGAAATTTTGAAAATTTTGAAGAAAAAAAATATGAACCCTTTTAAAAATAAATGTGGATAGTGTCCACACATGGACACAGATGATGCCCCCGCTTGCATATCATATAGTTATAAAGGGACATAACTGAAGAACTGTAAAAGTAACTTACGTAGAGAACAGAAACTAAAAATTCAGCAATTTTTCAATTTGTAAACATGCATAACTCTAGAACGGTTGTGTATAAGTTTATAACATTTGGTTGAGACAAACTTAAGTTAGAGAACGGAAACGAAAAATTCAGCAATTTTTATGTTTATAAAGGGACATAACTCAAGAATGGTAAAAGTGTCGCCAACAAATTTTGTACTTAATCTATATAATGTAGTAATAAGCATTGTGTATAAAAGTTTCATAACATTTGGTTGAGGCAAACTAAAGTAAGAAAACGGAAACAAAAAATCTGTACTTAATCTTAGTTTTGTGGTAATGAATATTGTGTATAGGTTTCATAATGTTTGGTTGGGCCAAACTTAAGTTACAGAATGGAAACTAAAAATTTTGCAATCTTCCGATTTATAAAGGGGCATAACTCAATACTGGTTAAAGTGACACTACCCAAATTCAACTTGATCTGTGTTTTATCAATGGAAGTCAAAATTAAACATTGCATTGTATAAAGCATTGATTGTAGTTGATTCAACTATAATCATGGACAAAGGAAGATAACTCCAATTTCAAAAATTACTTGATATTTAGAAAATAAAAATTTTGCAATTTTTCCATTTATAAAGGAGCATAACTCTAGAACGGTTAAAGTGACCCATCAAAATTCAAACTTGATCTGTGTTTTGTGGTAATAAGCATTGTGTATAAGTTTCATAACATTTGGTTGAGGCAAACTTTAGTTAGAGAACGGAAACCAATTTTGGGATGTACGTACATACAGACGGACAAGGGTAAAATTTAATGCCCCCACCGCTACGGCAGGGGCATAAAAAATTGGAAACACCCCCCTTCCCCCCAAGCTTTTTGAATCCCCCTTTTAGCATTTACCATCAAACTCAATTGCAGTCTTTCCTTTGTAGTATGGAACCTTGTAGTACAATTTTAGAGAGATCCATAAACTTAATCACAAGTTACTGTCTGGAAACTAGAAAAATGCTTTTTTTTAACCATAAAAGCCCATTTAAATAAATCATAAAAGTATTAAAATAGAAAATGACATCATAGTCCTGGCTTAAATTAAAAAACCTTCATCAGCAACTTTTAATAGTAATATCTAAAAATAAAATTCCTTCATCAGCATTTAAAAGTAACTTCTAAAAATAAATTGACAGCTAGGACTTTGCAACCATAAAAACCCATTTAAATACATCATAAAAGTATTAAAATAGAAAATGTCATCATAATCATGCCTAAAATTAAAACACTTTCATCAGCAACATTAAATAGTAATATCTAAAAATAAAATTCCTTCACATACATAATCATGGCTAAAATTAAATAATTTTTAAAATAGAAAATGACATCATAATCATGCCTAAAATTAAAAAGCCTCCATCAGCAACATTAAATAGTAATATCTAAAAATTAAATTCATTCACATACATAATCATGGCTATAATTAAATTACCTTTATTAAACATTTTTAAAATAGTAACTTCTAAAAATAAATTGACAGCTAATCACCTAAAGACAATACAGTTCCTTATAAATAATTTACAAAGCAGTGTAAGGGAGGTAATTTGACAATATGTTTTTGAATTACCTCCGTTACACTGCTTAAAAATTATGTTTTGTACTTAAGTAATTGTCCATTAACCTGGAAACCCTTGTTTTTCCCTCTTTTTTGCCCCTAATTCCTAAACAGTTTGAGCCATAACCCCTCAAAGCAAATTCTTACCATCCCTTTGTGATATGATAACTTGTGGTATAATTTCAGAGAGATCCATACACTATTTCACAAGTTATTGTCTGGAAACTAGAAAAATGCTTATTTTGGCCCCATTTTGGCCCCTTTATTCCTAAACTGTTAGGACCATAACCCCCAAAATCAATCCCAACCTTCCTTTTGTGGTCATAAACCTTATGGTAAAATTTCATAGAAATCCATACACTAAAACAAAAGTTATTGTCCGGAAAGCAATGTGTCTGCGGACGATGACGACGTGATACCAATATAGGACCGCAAAATTTTTGCGGTCGTATAAAAACTAGTAACTACAATGGCGGGTTTTATTTTATTAACTGATTTCAAAAACTTGTGAAAAAATTTAAAACAGATCGAGAGTAGATAAATGGATTGAAGCACAGATAAGACCTAGTGAAATAAAAAGTTCATACCATCTACTATAACCCTGTAGCTGTAGAACAAGAAGTTTTGGGCTACTTAATTAAGACGTTTATTAAATGATTACACATACCTCACCCACAGGAGGAACCATGACAATTACTTTTGATGATTCAAATTCTTCTAATTTGACACATGGGTGAAAGTTACATTTATCTAGTTGCACATGGTCACCATAGCCTGTAAACATACAACTTTTTTCAAATATACACGTTGACTTGAGTAAAGAAATATGGAATTCTCTCATCCTGGAATATGACCACACATCAGGAATTTTTGTTTGTTTGTTTGCAGGGATGAAGATATTGTGAGCAAACCAAAACAAAAATGTTTGAAAAGTTGATTCTGAAATATTTATATGCAAAAAGTTGATATATAAAAATCAATTCAATTATTAATGATTATTAATCAAAATCTTACAAATAGTTTCTTTGTTATCGTACATGTATATACCAAACAAATGATTTAAAAAAAAGTTTTATCAGATCACATAAAGAAAGTTCTTCAACAGTTCATCTATGTGCCATTTAAATTGCATTTATCTTGTTGAAATCTTTCTTTGAATTCAGTTCATAACTTAATACAAGATGAAATAGAGATGAAAAAATTACCTTTACTTTTTCCCTCCAGAATATCCAAATCTTCATTTAGTCCTATTTTAATTTGTGGATTCCCATTAACAAAATTTTTCACAATCATTTCACCTGAAACTTCCAAAGTAGAGGCTGTTCCCTTAAAAAATGTAAATGTTAAATATATTAAGTGATTCTTATACTTAGAAAGTTGTGTTAACGATTCTTATGAAGGTAGATCCATAAAAGTACTATAGACAAAGCTTAAAATCTATAAGTAATGAAATAAAAAAAAATTTCCAAAATGCATTTTTTCATCTAAAATATTAGAACAATCTTATCGAAACTGTGCTAATAGGTATATTCAGATGTATGAGAAACATATACTTACATTTGCATTTATAACAGCAGTAAGCTTTTCAATGATGTCAATATATAATTCATTCTTAACAGAATCCTGAAAGGATAATAAATTTATATAAGTATTTTTACCTAAAAATTTATATTCCACTTATATTTTTCCTTGAAATAATCTACGGTACTTGTGAAATGTACTACTAATTACTCCAAGTGATATGTTTTATCTTTTTTTCATTTCTCAGGAATTTTTCATACATTTTAAATAACAGTTTCTTGTATATCTAGATGATGATGTTAAACATTCAGTGGCAATATTACATGCATATCAGGACGTGAACATGTTTATGTAAAATATATACAAATGATCTATTGTATCAGACCAACACACTGAGCTGTATTTTTACCAAGAAAATTCACATGGTAACAGTCTGCCAGAAGGCATGCCACCCTGTAACACATTATTCTTCCTCTGTGCCAACAAGAAAATGCTTTACTTCTAAATTCCACATGCTTAGTGGAGAAGCTGCAGGTACCTGTTTTCAAGTCTCTGGTTTGACCTGGCATTGGATCAAAGAGCCCACAACACCCTGCAGTTGATGTCAACATGCTACCATTAGACCACTAAGGTGATACATTACTAGTAACAATACAGAACATGAGATTACATGATGTGGCATAAGATTTTCCACATCATCATTACTATAACAGTAAACAATGTTGGAAATAATTTGCATCAGCTGCAAGTAACAACAATTATCTTAAGTTTCACTAAATGCAGAACATAAAAAAATAGCTTTATCATTAAATAAAGATGAAAGGGATATATAGATAAATCAATTTGTTCAGTCTTCTCTTCTTTAAATTTACCGGATCAGTTACAGGTGACATGACTACAGATCTAATGGATGATGAACCAGGAGATACTTTCGTCTCTATTCCAAACTAAAAATAGAAATTCAGTTATATTAGTTCATAGCAAATCTATATAGTGTTAACATCTATATTAAAAGCACATTTACTGCACATTTTTCATGTGTTCACGTCTTTCTAGACAAAAAATTGTCTTCTTAAACTAGAGTTCAAAGAAACCTGTATCACTCACAGGGCATCTTTCCTTCATGTCAAGAATTGCATACCCTCAAAAAAAGGTTAAGACTTTTCAAATATAACAAGTTTAACTTTATAAAAAGATCAGTTTGTTATCTATACTCCTATTGTAGAAATAGTAAAATAGTAATGTTTTTTTTATGGCTGATGGAGTCAACAACTATAAATCTAAAGGATATAATAAATGTCTCACTAAGAGAGTGATTTAGTTACGCAACTTGCGCAATCAGGAAAATACATGTACAGCAAATATTAATAATTAAGAATATGAATAACTGTGATTTTCAATTTTATAAATACAGTCAACAAAGTAACAAAATCTAGAAAAAAAATTACAGAGAAATTGTTTAGAAAGGTCTAAATGTTAAAAAAATATCTCCATTGTTGAACATCTCTTGTGAAAATATGGTGGTTTATAGGATGTTCTTTTTTGAAGCCATGGCTTATTAAGTTGCTCATAACGGTAAATTGTATATGTTTTTCCCATACCTCCAATGATGAGTAGTATGAAGTCTGCAATTAACAAAATAAAGCAGGAATATCCTATGATGGCTTTGAAAATGGAAATAACGAATCTTCAAATTCTGCATGAATAATGTTTTTCTGTGTTAAATAGAGACTTACAACTCTGGAAGTTATATCACTAGTGACTTCTCTGGACTGTTTAACCATAACAGGACGAGATTGAATATATGGCTGTAACTTCTCTGTTGAAGCTATTTGAACATAGCCAGAATCCTGAAAGATAAATTGTATCTTTATAGACTTTATAAGTTTGTATTATTGTTATTTTTTTGGCTTATGATCACAATAGACATTCAGTATTACTTATACATGCACCAATTATGAAAAACAAATGTCAAAATAATTTAAAAAGTCCATTCATTTTTTTTAAACTTTCAATTGCTATTCAATATTATTCTTTTCATGAGATAGATCAAATGTTCATGTTACAGCCATTTTAAAAAGTCTTGGATGAAAACTGCTGACTGTCCTACATAAGTATTTACCTTTGAAAAGAAAATCAAACTTTGTCAAACAAAAAGTACTTAAAACTGATCTTATAGAAGATAGGATATAAAACTGTCACAGTTCTTTGACCTTAACTTTTTACATAAAACCTTTTAATATATTTATCTAGCTGTTGTATTAATATTAAAATCTATATTTCAAGCATTATTTCAAAAAAAGGCTTTTAATAGTGTGTGCCTGTTTATTTTTTACCGAAGTAATCATTATAAAAAGAAAGTATAAATATATATTCTTTACTTGTGTCAAACTATATTTTTAAATAATGTAAGTTTTGTTCATGCCATGAGTTATATAAATATCCAGGGAGTTATGGATGTGAATATAAATCACCTACAGCAAAATCATTAAGTACTTCTAAGATCAGCAAATTGTTGGCTTGAACAGAATCCTCAGTAACTGTTCCACAAAAATCTTTCAATATACTATAAAGTCTAAGAATACAAAAAAATATGGTAAGAATAACATAAAATATCTATGAAGAATGTTTTCTTTAACAATTCAAAATATAATTAAGCATTCTTCTGTTCAATAACACAGCCATCAATATTCTGGAACATTATGAGCTTGCCGTAGTATAAGTTATTGTATGCATGGTGACCTGAAATGCCTACTTCTGTAAACTTATGTTGTTGGTTTGTTGTCTAATTGATGTCTACCATGCATCTACTTTAAATCATCTCTGCTATTTGTCTGTAAACTAAATTTCTATTGAAAAACAAACAAAATAGAATATAAGAGAGGAATATTATTGCAACATCCATAACAAAGTTTAGATATAATATACCATCATTACATATGATCTTTCATCATTGTCTGTTTCACATAAATGTGAGGTAGTCATGCACAAGCATGGCATTGCGTAGAAAAAATGAGCTTTAACAGAACATTTATAATATAATGTAACTGGTCTATTAATGAGGGTAGTGTATCTTTAATGCCCATCATAGCAAACTGAAAAATTCTGCATTTCAATGCAATCAATTTTAGAAGGTTTTATGTCTGCCGAGTTTACCGGTACTTATATTTCTGATGGACAGTCTGACAGGTTCTTTGTTAATAAATGACAATTACCTAATATATAGTGTATTGTAGAAGTCTTAGAGGGATAAAATAGAGCTGATTGTTGTTGAATCTACAACATAATGCATCTTGGGTATTCAAAAAATTTTCACTACATTGCCTTACATATTTAGGGTACATTATAAAATATGATTTGCCATTAAACAAAGAAAGAGGATGTATTTTCCCCATTAAAGACAACCTAAGCTGTTAGTTGTATTTTCAATATTGCAATATGATCCCTAGATTATCTTTTAATACATATAGTAATTGGAATGTTACATTCATCTGGTCAGTCACATATAGATTCTATTTTTGAAAACAATATTGATAATTCAATATGTCGGACTACAATTTTGATTGTAAATGTTTTTACTTTTTCATTATTGCACTCAAATGTTCACAAGGAAAAAATGAATATAAAAATATCAATATTTTGTTTTTGTTTTGCAAGCCTAAAAGCACAGAATCTCAATCACAGCAATGATAACCCTCCAGCAACTATTTTGTGGCTTTTCAATGATCAGTGCTCCATAACCAGAGGGGGATTTAGGTGGGGGTCAGCCTCCCCCCCCCCCCCCCCCCCAACTCCCCTTTATGGAGCTACATGTATGGTTAATGCAGACTTTTTACATGTCTCACTCCAAACACTGCCTAGTTAAGGGGCCATGGGCCACACCCTTTTACAAAGTTCTGAATCTGCATCTGATAACAACCATAACTCTCATCAAATAAAAAAATCACTGTATATACATGATATACAGTAAATACTGACCTGCATAAGATTTCAATAACCATAATAGGTGAGATTTCATGTCCAGAGGTAGCAACAAAATACAGCCCTCCTCTTTTTATGTTGAAAAAGTAAGTTTCCTTTAATTTCTGAAAATTAAAATAATAATTTTAAAATAGACATATATGTTATCTGAACTATATTCAGAACATCTGTATTTAAAAAAAAAACAAGTGAAATGTAAATCAATATCATAATTGCATTATCTTTTCTATATTTAAGTTTTAATGTGGTAGTTATTGATCAATGTATGTGAATAGTGATTGATAATACTCTTAGTTTGCCTTTGAAATTATGAAACAGCGATGCTTCAGCATAAAGTTAAGTCATCCAGTCTATCCTTCCATCATCAAGAGAATATTTTTACACGGGGTCCCCATATAAAAATAAGAAGAGATGGTATAATTGCCAATGAGAACTCTCCACCAGAGACTAAATGACATAGAAGTTAACAACTATCTATGCCTGGATACATCATATTTACAGCTTATTCTTCCCTAATTACATTAAAGATGGCAGAATGGCCATTACTTCAACCACAGTATTATATATAAATGAGATATTAAATAAGCAAATTAATCAATGAATGATTGCTTTTTTAACGAGAAATTTAAAGTTTCCATTGAATGATCTCCACAAAAAACAGTAGCTACTATATTTATTCAATGGGACAGTTTTTGCAAAAATTTAAATGACTTACTGATTCCGGGGAAATATTTTATTTACTTTGCAATAAAAGAATTGATCCAAGATTGATTGGTTCAATTGTTGTAACATTTTGTAAACTAGATTACATGTATTTCAAATCATATCAATATCCTGCTTCCATGTAAGCCAGTAAGGCTGGCATAATATTTTTACATGATGAAAAAGAAACCACTACCTACTTTGTTTTTAAACCTTAAAAGATTTTAATTTCAATACATTTTTAAGCTCAGCATTCCATTAAAACTGTAACATTTTCTCATCAGTTTGCAAATATTTTCATTCCTTTTCTAAATCGCCAATCAAACTTTTTTGTATATCAATAGCCTTTTCTAAGAAATTATTGGCTTAATAAAGCAAAACTTGGCAGAAATGTTCCTTTAATTGAAATTTACAAGTTTCTTTCCAATTATAAATTCAATTTAGTGGTCGTCTTCAATCATATCTTAATGGCTTTGACTTCAGGCAGATTTATGCCAGGTTGCACAGCTTTCATAAACCTTGGGGATTCAGAGTTTCACATGATATATATACTACATATATAAGAAAATTAAAGAACCTTAGTGAGCACGCTCACATACCCCACGTCCCCACATTGTCATTGGAGAAATAAAATAAGTGTAAGAAAAAAAAATTGTATCAGAAAAAAAATTGAATCATAATTTCCTGTCAATATGCACATCTACATAGTATGTCCTTATTATCTACACAGTTTCATGAAATTCTGTTGTGTGGTTTGAGAGGAGTTGCGATGACAAAAGGTTGCAGTAGTATATTGGGCAAATAAGTTCAAAGGGGCGTAACTCCTGGAAAAAAAATTTAATTGTAATTTCCTGTCGATATGCACATCTACATAGTATGTCCTTATTATCTGAAAAGGTTTCATGAAATTCTGTTATGTGGTTTGAGAGGAGTTGCGATGACAAAAGGTTGCAGTAGTATGTTGGGCAAATGAGTTCAAAGGGGCGTAACTCCTGGAAAAAAAATTGAATCGTAATTTCCTGTCGATATGCACATCTACATTGTATGTCCTTATTATCTGAAAAGGTTTCATGAAATTCTGTTGTGTGGTTTGAGAGGAGTTGCGATGACAAAAGGTTGCAGTAGTACATTAAAGTAAATAAGTTCAAAGGGGCACAACTCCTAGAAAAAAAATTGAATCGTAATTTCCTGTCGATATGCACAACTACATAGTATGTCCTTATTATCTAAAAAGGTTTCTTGAAATTCTGTTGTGTGGTTTGAGAGGAGTTGCGATGACAAGAAATAGGACAGACAGACTGAGGGACTGACGACTGACGGACGGGTCAAAAACATTATACCCTCAGCAACTCGTTGCGTGGGGTATAAAAATGAGATGTGGTAGGATTGTCATTGAGACAATTATCAATAAAGACCACAGGACAAAGAATAAACCATTAGCATGTCACCATTTGACCTTAAACAATGAGCAAAACCAATACTTTATTGTTTAAAGCTAAAAAATGCCCCAGTCACATGCCAGTATGACAAATATAATATATCCAATATCTCCTATTGTTTCCACAAATGGCAGTATTACTACAGAACACAGTCAAGATTAAGTTGTGCATCTCCCGTTTTCATTTATTTATTCATCAGATTGTTTATTTAAGGATTTGATCGTAGTTTTTGAGGATTTTCTTAAGCAAAACCTGGACTTCTGATATCTAACAATGATTTATCAATGCTACCATATTTGTAATTGGAAAAGCTATATTTTCACAGGCATAACAATAACAATAAACATATTAAATTTGATATAAAATACTTACAAAATGTGGTGATATATTTGTTCCAGGTTCCTTTAATGTTTGTAAGAAAATATCCTTGGTCTTTAAGACTGTATCTAATCTGACTGCAGTTTTAAGGAAAATGCATGTTTTTTTTTGCTTCTTAACCCTTACCATGCGGGGGCCGTAATATTACGGCCGTACCCAGACCACCGTTATTTGGCACCAATGGCGCTCCATACATTTGGAGGTCAACGTAATGCCATTGAAATCGAAGTGTATGCATGTTTCCTCAATCTTACACCATTAATTGTCATCTTTCTTACTTTTAATGTTCATTTTGAGCTCAAATACAAACTTGGAAAATTGAAATCGGACAAAATTGGGTTTTTTGGAGGGGTGGGCTTACCTTCCAGGTCTGAAACACGAAGTTATGAGGCCTGAAACTTGAACAAATAGTGTAAACCCCAAGGCATATAACTACTGATCTTGTTTATTATCAAAATACGCATAGGCAACGACTACTTCCGGTTGCAGGTCTAGTTAAAGTAAAAAATCGGAAAAAATCGGAAATTTTTAGAATTTTGGTGCAAATGACCTTTTTTAGAATGGTGTACCCAGATCAGTTTCACTCCGACCTAACAACTGTTGTGATTTATGTGTTCACTGGGGTCCACTCTACATGCAAACTACAGTTGGATGCATCTATTAGCATCCCTCGGACTTCCAGGTCGAGAAAAAGAACGTGAAAACGTCAAAATTGACGCGTTTTGCACATGAGGACCAAATTTGGGGCAAATTCCCGCCGACCCTCCCCCGCCTCCTCACCCCGTGATCCCCTATCTTAGATTTAATGCAATCAATATGCATCAGCATCAGGGTACAGCTCATTTGCATATAATTTGCATATTTTTGCAAATAATCGAAAATTAGACAATTTCTGAAAACAATTCAGCATGGTAAGGGTTAATATCCATGGGGTTAGAAATCATTTTTTTTTTCAGTTTTAGCTCCAATTAGGATGTTTTTTCATCATATTTAGGGCCTACATAGGTTATCAAGGCCTTCAGATACACTGGTTTGCTCAAAAATGCTTTAAACTTTTTTTTAATTTTTGTTGATTATTAACCCTTACCATGCGGGGGCCGTAATATTACGGACGTACCCAGACCACCGTTATTTGGCACCAATGGCTCTCCATACATTTGGAGGTCAACGTAATGCCATTTAAATCGAAGTGTATGCATGCCCCTCCCCCGCCTCCTCACCCCGACCACCCCACCCCGTGATCCCCTATCTTAGATTTAATGCAATCAATATGCATCAGCATCAGGGTACAGCTCATTTGCATATAATTTGCATATTTTTGCAAATAATCGAAAATTAGACAATTTCTGAAAACAATTCAGCATGGTAAGGGTTAAGATTTACAGAAATAGAAAAGCACTGAAAATGCTTAAAATTGTTATTTTATACAATACATGTAGTAAACTGATCATGTTGATGATTGCAATGCAGCACCAACAGATTTTCTATATTGATATGAAAATATATCATCTTCTTATTATTATCATATAATATAATAATAATCAGTAAAACTCTATGGTGTGTTTTCATTGACATCAAAAGGTTTAAATAATCACAGATCTGTTTAGGCTTCAACAGTTTGACAGGTCATCTAGTAAAAATATAACTTCTCACATTTAATTCACCAAAATACCAAGCTTGAAGGTTCTTTTTAGGGGATAATATAAAAAGAAATGTATTTCGGCCTCAGCTTTGTCTATTAAATCAAATCAGTATTTGAAGAATTGTCATGACACTAAAATCTTGGGTGCACTATTATACCCCCCCCCCCCCCCTTTTCAATAATGTAAGCAAGGATCTATATTTATGTATTTCATAACTTATTTTTCTATTTTCTAAATCTAATTTGCTATAAAATCTGAGTTTTTAAGAATTATCATATTTAAAAATGCCAAAAACTGACAACTTTAAAAAAAATTTGTAATGAAATGTACTGTCTCCTGATGAGAACACTGACATAAACTCATTTATCTTACAAAAATTGAACAAAATTATTTTGGTTTCTATTTTTTGATAAAATTGTTTAAATTAATAATATGTTCATTGTTTATATTTAAATCTGTTATTAGCCCCACTCCATGACTCTTTCTTTTATCCGCCCATGGTCTCAATGGTAGGATCTTAATGTACTGAGTGCTTGAGGTTGTAGGTTCTAACCCCGGCTGGGTAAAACCAAATAAGACTGAAAACTTGACTGCTTAACATTTGACATTTAGGAGTAAGAGCATAGGCTGGTCTGCTCAAATTCAGAAAATGTATAGGTATGGTGACATGTCTTCCTTCAGACTGTTACCTAGTGAACTAGCATGTTAAAAATCTGCCTCAGCATGTTGGTCTTGTACAAAGCAGGATTTAAATACATATTACATTATCATGTTCTCGTCCTAAAAATGCCACTGGATGTTAAACAGCCATCCATCCATCCATCCATGACCCTAAGCTTTCACCAGACTTATTTCAACAACTCATATTTAAAAATGTAACATAAGGGGCCTTTTAAAAAAAAAATCTTAAAATATTTTTACTCTTGTTTGTGCTCTTTATAAGCAAGATAATTGCGAATTAATGTCTATATAATTGTGAGACAGATTAAAAGACTACTTTGAAATTTGTGCTTTTTCTGTAAATTTGTGCTTTAAAAATACTGATGTTATTATGTCACAGTAAGGTTTCATTGTTCAACTATGTTGTTTTGGTCAACAACATTACTCATTGATAAATAAGAACTTGAAATTCAGGTCTATTATAAATCAATATGTCAGGTCAATACATCTTATTTCTATGTGTCCCCCATTGATGGATATCACACACATTCCTGTAAAATTTTGACATCACAAGAGAAAATGTCTAATGCCACAAAGGAAAAATGATTTTGTACATCTTGTATGTTGTAACTAGCTCAAGTGTTGCAGATTCCCAAAAGGAATAAAGTCTATTCACTATTATTGTCTATTCATATATGGAAGAAATTATTAAATTTCACTGTATATATGTTCCCACTAAACTTCAACGTGTTGAAGGCATTCACTACAAAATAGAAGTAGAAGAAGAAGAGATGCAAATGTAGTCCCACTTTTCAAAAAAGACGAAAGGCACTTAGCATCTAACTACAGACCAGTATCTCTTACATCCATCACATGCAAGGTCTTAGGACATATATCATACACAGTAACATAATGGACCACTACCGCGACAAAAATAAAATCCTTACTAATGCACAACATATGGTTTCTGCAAAAGACTATCTTGCAAATCCCAACTTATCATAATCATCCACAACATTGCATCAAAATTAAAAAGAAACTGCCAAGTAGATATCTTACTAGATTTTGCAAAAGCATTTGACAAGGTGCCACATCATCGCCTACTTCACCAGTTGGAATGTTACGGTGTCAATCCTAAAACCAACAAATGGATTCGCTCCTTCCTACATAACAGAAAGCAGAAATGTCATACTAGAGGGAGCTGTCTCCACGCAAGTACCAGTACCCCAAGGCACAGTTCTCCTACCATTACAGTTACTGTTCCTGGCCTACATCAATGACATAATATGCCAGAAACAGCAACAACATCAGAGACCAAATTATTTGCCAATGACAGCCTATACTCTATCGAACCATTACCAACCAAGCAGAGAGCTACCTTCTTCAGAAAGATTTAACATCACTGGAAGATTGGGAAAATAAATGGCTAATGAGTTTCAACACCAAAAAATGCCTTGTTAAAAGAATATCATCAAAAAACAGTGCAGCGATACAAACAACTTACAAACACCACAGTCATACCCTAGAGACAGTTGCAGGCAGAAAATACCTAGGAGTAACAATCAGTAAATACCTTAATACCTGGGTCCTGGATAAACACATCGACAATACAGTTAGCAAAGGAAATCTAAAAGGCTGTACAAAACCTGTAAAAGTGGCTGCATATGTATCCATGGTAAGGCCTGAAGTGGAATATGCATGCACAGTATGGGATCCATCAAACCAAAATAAGATCAACTTTAAAATGGGAAAGCCTCGAAGAGTGGAGGAAAAAACAAATACATGTAGATTATGCATGCTATTCAAGATCCAGCATGATCTAAAAGACATAGATTGTCAACAATATTTGACTCCAAAAGATAATCATACCAGAGGTGAAGAAAGAACCAGTTCAGATGTCTACGACCATTCTTTCTTTCCAAGGATCATCAGGGACTGGAATAACCTACCGACATCAATATCATCGGCCAACAAAGTTGAAGGAATGAAATAGGCGTGCAACACCGATATGTATATTATTTCAATTGTAAAAATATTGCGTACATTTTAAATGTAAATAACCAAGACTGCAAGAGTGAAGAGAGAACTTTCTGTGTTGCCCGACAGGCGACACTGCGCAAAGTTTGCATGTGGAACCATGTACATTAAAATATTGAATTCGGTTCCTTACAGAAGAAGAAGAAGAAGGTTTTTCGTGATGTAAAAATACATGCTTGGTGTTCCTTATACTAGGAAGGAGTTACATAGAAACTAAGAAGAAGCATAAGATGGGATATATCACTGGAAATCTCAATTTTATCAGTTTTGTAATTCGACCTGACTCCTATATTTTTATGCATTTAATCAATTGCATTTAAGGGATACAAGATTTATATAACAGAACAGATTCCGTGCCAGAAACAATGAATATTTCACTGAAATGCATAATGAATCCTACAATGGCTAGCAGACACCTGTCATCCGGGCACCTCTTCAATTCCCGTGTCAAGCGAGAAGAAACGAGACAACATTACTGATGTGAAATGCTGGAACTCTTGGCTTTTTCTTGAAAGGTAATACTGAACATTTGCTATTCTTATGCAAGAAAATATTTTACAACTCAGTAAGGATCAAGAGACCCATTCAACTGACACACAGTGAAGTTATGTTTAGGCACTTGTTGATCTCCAGAAATAGCTTCAAGAAAAAAGGGGGAGGGGTGTTAAAAATGTTCATTGACATGTTGACAGGTCTGATGTGATGGTCCTGTGAAAAAGATGACAACGCGATACCTTTATGGGTATTAAGAATTAAGGCCATGTTTATCCTCTCAACCTATTAATCTTAAAAAATAAATCAGTCCAGTAGAAAAATTATGTATCTTTGCAGGAAGAACTTGCAACTCATTAAATGTTAGAAAATTCGGATCTCCTGTAGTTGGTGATCGCAATACTGGTATACCAGTATTGTGCACAATACTGGTATAAAAATTTTGTACCAGTATTGTAACTTTTTTTTTTAAAAACAACAATACTGGTACATCACTGATATACCAGTATTGTAGTTGTATTGTCGACTATACTTTAAGGTGTATGCTATGTCCATGTTGTTTTTAATAAGTGTATTTTTCAGCAACTTTTTCATTATGTTCGTGCTGTTGCAGATAGAAATGGTTCTTTTTTTGTAATCCTGTTAAGGATTTTAAGTACAGAAAGTAGTAAGAATCAGGAAGAATTATATTTTATTCATTTAATATAGATGATATACTAATAATCTAATAACAATGATTGACATATAAATGACATTGAATAAAGAATGAATATACACAAATTCAGCATTAATATGTATGTCATCATCTATATTTTTAAAAATATTTTAATACATGTATACTAAGATTATATGCATTTGTTGGTCTTTATTTTTTAATTAATCTTTCACAATAAAAGAGATCATGATCAATATCCAGTAAACATAAAAAGTTGCTTAATAGGGGAACCATTATAATCAAATTAACTACATGAATGTTAAGGTCATTTATAGCCATTTCTTAATTAGTTTCCAATTTATTAGATGTTTTTTATGTAAGTTTCCAATTAATTAGAGCTTTTGTGTATTTCTAAAGGAATTATTATCAACCAATAAAAATTAATGTTTTTAAAACAGATCCAGAGACATATATACTGACAGATCCGAGTACAATAATATTCATGCCTATCTTCATTAACTTAGATTTTGATATGGCTGGAATTTCACTTCTATTCCCAGACTTTCCTAAGCAAATGTCTGTTTTAGACAGAGTAGCATCATAGTTATCAGACACAACAGCAACTACAAAATGTACTACAAGAACTGGTCAACTGAAGAACTAGATCAGTCATATGTTCCACAAGACCACAGAATCTATTTACAAAGAAAATATAAAGAAAAATGAAATCATTCAAATGCCTTGTAAAATTGTCTTGTCATATGTTAATTTCATTATGTGACACCTTTAATAAAAGATTAATTACCTATACGTATTGTTTATTTAAAAAAAAAAACAATACTGGTACAATACTGGTACAAAAATTTTATACCAGTATTGTGCACAATACTGGTATACCAGTATTGCGATCACCAACTACAGGAGATCCTAAAATTCTACCTGTTGAAATCAAAGTAATAATCAGAGGATATACATTCTGTCTGTCATACCTTGATTTTTTTTTAAATTGGGGACAAGAACTGGAGATTGATTTGTTATCTATTGTTTCATCTTGGAGTCTTCCTTAAAAAATTACCACCAACCAAATTAACTGCTGCAATCAAATTTCATGCTCGTTCAAAAACTATCAACACAATAAAGGTAGCTTTGACTATAATATTTGGTTTTAAAACTTCTTATCAAAAATAGAAGTGAACCAATGAATCATGATTATTTATTCTTCTTTCTCGTTGCAGATATATTTTTTTTTGCACAGCCATTTTATTATCTGTTTATTTATTTACCTTCTCTTGTTCCTTGTTTTGGTCTGATAACCTTACCATGAGAAATCTAGAGTAAACTTAAGTGTATTGGAAATTACATGGTGTAGCAAAACACAGAGAGAATTATAGAACGTAGAATATATAGGTCTATTTTTACTGTTCATTTCACAATGTCCTCAAAGCAAAGAAAAATTAGTATTAAAAAATAATCTTTTTACAAATCAAAAGATATGTTTGATCACTCTGAATTTTTAAATAGGAAAGATGACTTACAGAGTACACACTGAATGTATTTGAACAGTATATGCAAGTCAGGAAGTTAAAAACATTTTCCACCACAAACTCTGGACTCGTAATTTTAATTAAAAAAAAATACAGGATTTATTATTTTGAAAAGTACAAAAAAATTGTGTTTAATGTGTCAATTCATGACACAAAATCAATACACACACATGGAAAAAAGAAACAACAAAGAAACTGCTTTTGTAGCTGTTTTTCATCTTAAAGTCACAGTCAGGCCTTCAAATCGAACAAAAACTCTTACCTCAGTTCTAGTGCAAGACAGCCACTAGCTTAAGTTGAGTGGAATTTAGTGCTAGATGTTGACACAACTGCAGTGAAATATCAGCAAATTATAAATTTTATCTGGCAAAGAAATCTAAACAATTCTGTCATAAATTGCCCGAAAATTCAATCCTAAAATACAGACATTAAATAGACACAAGCCACACCAAGGTACATGTATTAATTGTATTCGTTAGAAAACTTGGCACGAAATTACATTTATAATTCTACACAAAGACCCAGATAGACCTTGTTGCTTATCTTATTTGCACTCACAAAAAGATAGCGATCCAGTACCGGAATTGATTTTGAAATCTTAAAAAATCCTGTTAATAGACTGTCATCGCAGACTTCGCGGATCAATGGGTATATTGTTTAGATGACATGTCGCAATCACTTAATTGTGTCCATCAGGGATTCCCGTGAACTATAATTAATGTCAATCACGGAATTGTGGAACAAGTGTTTTCCATTATAGCTGCAGTGTACATATGCATTGTTTGCTTATCATGCTTATTAGTCTTATACTCTCTTTTGTTTGAGAAAATATTTGATACCAAACAGAATTAAAAGTCTGCCTCAACCTATTAGAAAAGTCTGTTTCTGGAGTCACATGATAAAACATCATAGCATATATACATGTTCATAGGAATTACCCTCTGTTTTGTTTCAATGTCTGTGGAAGCAATCATCATACATGTAGTATGACTACTGTATTGAAAAAAAAAAAAAAGATAAATGATTTAACAATAAGTCATGAAAAAGAATAAGGAAAACAAATGAACCAAAAAACTTTTAAGGAATATTTGTTTAATCAGGAAATTTTTTAGTAGTTTTAGAAATTGAAACTTAAATCCATGTACATGAATATGTACTTGTACATTTACATGTCATGAAAAAGGTCTTTTTGTTTTGTTTTGAAGTATGCATGGTTTTTTTTTGGTTGACTGCTTTTCCACAGAATTATGGTCCTTGGATATAGATAATTAATTAAAAATATACTTATCCAGACTTTTTTGTAATGCATACAGATCTGGAGCTTATTTTCTGTACATTAGCTATTGTGAGTATTTGTTTCTTTCTGGTCATCTGGTTTACCAAATTTTCATGAAAAATCAATGTTTCCTTACACTTTTGTAATGCCTGCAGATTTTGCACTGAATTTTGGTACATTAGTGACACTGTATTGTGTTCATATATATAGTGAAGACTTACAGAAAATTTCCTGAAAATTGAAAGTGTCCCGACTTTTTTTAATGCCTGCATATCTATAGATAGAGCTTATTGTTTGTACATTAGAGTAACATGAAGATTATCAGTTTACAAATCCAATTTGGTTTTCTTTCCTTTCACCAAATTTGCAGAATATGGCTCTTGTACAAAAAATATCATGAAAATTGTTTGTTGAAAAGAGCTGGATTTTCGTACATAAAGGGTAAAATGATGACTTTCATGTCAAGTTCGTGTTTTGTTTTGGTTGACCAGATTTTTCTGAAAAAAGGCAGTTGCATATAGAAAATTTCATGATAATTGTAATTGTCAAGACTTCTTAGCTTATGTGACATACTATAGCTAGTGTACCATCACTTGGTGTACATCCTCATTGAAAACTTTAAAAAAAAAATCTCCTCTTAGGGTCAAGGTACAGTTATAAATGGGCTACATGTATGTCACAGATTTTGGTAAAATTTTGCATACAATGAACTTTGGGTCACTGGACTATAACTGACAAAAAAGTAATGCATTTATCTCTTTTATTTCCTGAAATATTATAAAATTAATTCTTTACAGGAGTTATTGGCTTTTAATGATAGTTTTTGACTAATTTTCAAATTTAGTGTATTATCTTGAAAACTATCAGACTATAGTAGAAATCTAAACAGCTGAAATAATAAGCAATACAAGATATATTTTTGGAGTAATTTTCAGGTTATTGTCTTGCCTGCGATGAAAGTCACAGAATGTGAGACATATTGATTACAGTCTGGCGGTGACATAGTAAACTATTTATTAAAAAGCTTTTTGTAGAAGGTAGAAGACCTGGATGCCTGACATGTCTGTCTGGCATGGTTATCTGACCTTGATCTCATTTTTATGGATCATTGATAATGTTTAGTGAATGTGATACTTGTATTAAAACATTCATATTACAGACTTGCAACATAAATTCACTTATTTATGATAAGGAAAGCAGGCAAGACATTCCAGCATGTGCACTCTTGTTGTGTATTATCATGATTATCATGAAAACTATAGCAGATAGGTGGAAAAATTGGCCATTCTGGTAGAAGCAATCAAAACTTTTCTCTTAATTTTAATTTATTTTTAGATGACAACATTAAGACAGCTGTCATTAATTCACACCCAATCAAACATCTCCACCTACATACATGTATCAAATAGTTAAAGTGGTTATACTGAAGGAAAATATAAACAAACAGCTGATTGATAATGTAGTGTTCATCCCACACATGGTAAAATTATAACTACGATTAACATGATTAACTGGTTCTCTTTTAAATTGTATATTTTAAAATTTACAAAGTTGTTGTTGTCTTTTTTTATTCTTTCATCAACTGCATTTCATTTTGCACTGCTTCTAAAAAAGTTCAAACATAATTACTAAATTCAATTAAATGTCCACCATTAGAATTTTGATTTTAACCATCATTTCGTCCAAAGGAAAATAATTCCAAATGGTCTTTTTAAAAAATGGATCATAGAACCGATCTACAATGAATATGACTCAAAAGGTTCATCTTCATGGCACCAACCACTATGGCTGACATGGCCAAAAATAAAAGGTAGGGGTAAAATACAAGTTTTGTCTTTTATCTTGAAAACTGTTACAGATTAGCTGATAGAGAAAATCTGACTGGGGCAGAATTGTCAAGAATGTTGAGATTTACCTTATGTCTATTATTGTAGGACAATTTTTATACGACCTCAAAAAATTTTGCGGTCGTATATTGGTATCACGTCGTCGTCAAAGACATTTGGTTTCCGGACAATAACTTTAGTAAATGTAAATAGAAATCTATGAAATTTAAACACAAGGTTTATAACCACAAAAGGAAGGTTGGGATTGATTTTTGGGGTTATAGTCTTAACAGTTTAGGAATTAGGGGCCAAAAGAATTATTTTTTTGGAAAAAAGGGGGGGGGGGGGCTAAAAAAGAAATTGTGAGTGGGGGGGGGGGGGACAATTTTTTTCTCATTTCAGATTTCAGAAATTAAAAAGAAAATTTCTTCAAATATTTTAATTTTTTTGGGGGGGTAAAACTTTTTTTTTTTTCGGGAGGTCAATTCGCAACAGCATAGTGTATTGCACAAAAGCAAAAATTGAATATAAATTCAAATCATATAACCAATTCTAAGTTCTTTGACTACAGTTATTCGGTGTCAGAAACCTATTATGTGTCAAATATTGAATTACAATCCAAATTCAGACCTGTATCAAGCGCGAATATTGTGTCCATTTTCGCCCCAACTGTTCAGGGTTGGACCTCTGCAGTCGTATCCAGCTGCCCTCAGCGAAGCATTTTATTACATCTGTGTCAGCCCTTTTCCAGATATACATGTAGACCTTTCTCTGTACTGGTTTTGAATTTCTTGCTAATGTCTTAGAATCAATAAATACTATGTTGTGATCACTAATTCCAGGTAATAATTCTCATCTGTTAACTAATGATGGTCTTTTGGTTAAGAATAGGTTAAGAGTTGCATTTCCTTTTCTTGTGAAAGTGACTATTTGTCCTAATCCATAACCATTTACCATGTTTACCATTTCAAGAAACCTATTGTTGACTTAATTTGTGTTTTTTTGGATGCTGACTGATGCATTGTTCCATTCTATTTATGGTAGATTAGTGTTACCTCCTATCCAAATTACTGATGATTTGTTCCAATCTATATTGGGTAGATTAATGTTACCTCCTATCCAAACTACTGATGATTTGTTCCAATCTATATTGGGTAGATTATTGTTACCTCCTATCCAAATTACTGATGATTTGTTCCAATCTATATTGGGTAGATTATTGTTACCTCCTTTCCAAATTACTGATGATTTGTTCCAATCTATATTGGGTAAATTAATGTTACCTCCTATCCAAATTACTGATGATTTGTTCCAATCTATATTGGGTAGATTATTGTTACCTCCTTTCCAAATTACTGATGATTTGTTCCAATCTATATTGGGTAAATTAATGTTACCTCCTATCCAAATTACTGATGATTTGTTCCAATCTATATTGGGTAGATTATTGTTACCTCCTATCCAAATTACTGATGATTTGTTCCAATCTATATTGGGTAGATTAATGTTACCTCCTATCCAAACTACTGATGATTTGTTCCAATCTATATTGGGTAGATTAATGTTACCTCCTATCCATACTACTGATGATTTGTTCTCTTGGACTACATTTATTCTTAGAATTATACCTGTGAATACATTTATAAAATATAATTTGTGATTAATAAACCTGACATACTAACTTTGTCATTAGGAGGTTAATGTAACTCTTTCTGTTTAATAGCCTCTATTTTGTTTTTGTTTGTAAGAATGACTTACAGTAGTTTTTTATACAACCGCAAAAAAATTTTGCAGTCGTATATTGGTATGATGTTGGTGTCGTCGTCGTCCAAAGACACATTGGTTTTCGCACTCTAACTTTAGTTTAAGCGAATGGATCTCTATGAAATTTTACCATAAGGTTCAATACCACAAAAGGAAGGTTGGGATTGATTTTGGGGGTTATGGTACCAACAGTTTAGGAATAGGGGCCAAAAATAAACATTTTTGTAACTTCCAGACATAACTTGTGTGTTAGTGTATGGATCTCTCTGACATTGTACCACAAGGTTCCATATCACAAAGGGAATGCTGGGATTGATTTTGGGGGTAATTGCCTCAAAATTTTAGGAATTAGGGGCCAAAAACAAGCATTTTTCTAGGTTCATGATAATATCTTGTGGGTAAGTGTATGGATCTTTATGAAATTGTACTACAAGGTTCCATATCACAAAGGGAAAGCTGGGTTTGAGTTTAGGGGCTATTGCCCTAAACGTTTAGGAATTAGGGACCAAAAAAGGGGCCAAAAACAAGCATTTTTTCTAGTTTCCAGACAATAACTTGTGTTCAAGTGTATGAATCTCTCTGAAATTGTACTGCAGGGTACCATACCACAAAGGGAAGGCTGGGATTGAGTTTGGGGGTGATGAATCATAAGGGGGTTCAAAAAATTTGGGGGAGGGATTTTTTTTTCTTTAAAATTTTCCATTTTAAATTGGTTATTTCTGATTTATATATAAAAGCAAATAATAATTATGATATGGTTTGAATAGGTAAATTAAAATTTTTTAAGTTCTTAGACCACATTCATTCTGTGTCAGAAACCTATGCTGTGTCAAATATTTAATTACAATCCAAATTCAGTGCTGTATCAAGCTTGAATGTTGTGTCCATACTTGCCCTAACTGGTCATGGTTCGACCTCTGCGGTCGTATCAAGCTGCGCCCAGCGGAGCATTTTATTTTCATATAAGAAAAGCAGACATTTGAAACACTTCCATCTTTTTGCTGCAAAAAGGGATACAGTCAGTAATGACATGTTTTTTGAATGTCCTTATGTCCATTTTTCTGTTCAACTTTGAAGACATAGTAGGTTACTTCATACATGAGGTTTAATAAATACTAAAACTTTGTATTACATTCATTTGTTAAAAGAAAATTTCTGATCAATTGTTTCACATGAAAAATTATGTAGATACACCTGTAAACAGTGTTTTTAATTTTTACATCTAAGTAATTCATGTTTTGAGTGCATTGTAAAGGAAATGTTCAAGACATTTATATTTATCATGTTTATGTTTAAAAATTGTTTAGAATTGTATGTTTATTTGTTAGTGTTACAAAAATGTATGTAGAAAGCCATTTATTACAAGGTATTTTTATTTTTCATTTGAATTAAATATATATATGGAACTATCATTTAAATTGGAATATTTTTTTTAATTGCATATTCTTTTTATTAACAAGAGGCCTAAGATTACTATCTATGTATACATTAATTTTGGCATTATTTTTTTCCATGTTTCATCAAAAGGAAATTTTTATAGTGCAGTTGTGGTTTTCATTCTGAAAACAAATTAATGAACACTGCCTGAAGTGAAATTGACTTCCCTTTCTCGTACATATTAAGAAAAATACTTGATGTTGTTTATCAATGTGTAAATTGAAGGTCGGAAGGGCAGTTGTATAACAAGTAGTTGTTTATTTATATGACGGGTTTCTCAGAAATAGAAATTCAAGGATAATATATTAGGTGCTGCATTAGTGTTCCTGATTAATTATTGATTGATATAAAAGTACAAGGTTGTGATGTTTTTCAGACTGACGGGCAGACAGGACAATGAACCCGTCTGGAAGTAACATTCCTGTGGTGAAGGAAGGATATTTAATGAAAAGAGGTAAGTCAGTATATTCAGATTTCCTGTGAATGTAGTTTTTACCATTTGTAAATTGATTACAGGTACATGATACATACATGTATATGTTCTTGTCAAATAGCACTTATCTTACAGGTAGCGATGTAAGTTTCTCACCAATGGTCAATTGTTTCTACAGCCAATTTGTGCAATAATTATCAATCATCATTGTCATGGACATGATGGATGCTACAAGGTTACACAGATGTATAGAAAGTGTAATAAAACATCACTGACCAAATGATAATGTCCATTACAGTCAACTGGTGACTTGGTGTATGTAGCCAGACATAGCCCAGACTGTTCAAAGTCTATAGCACATCAACGTCAGATGTCAACATGGCCACTTATAGCTCCAAATGGGGCATTCTTGCTGGAGTTTTCCAGTTGTTCAGCAAGTTATTGATGTTTTTCATGATAAAAAATTAATCTTAATATTAAAGTACATTTACATAAACAAATGTACATCACACCCTAGTTAAATATTGATGACTAATTTTTGTCGAGCCTGCGACTTTTGTCGCAGAAAGCTCGACATAGGGATAGTGATCCGGCGGCGGCGGCGGCGGCGGCGGCGTTAGCTAACTTCTTAAAAGTTTTATATTTTAGAGGGTGGAAGACCTGGATGCTTCATACTTTGTATATGGATGCCTCATGTTACGAAGTTTCCGTCAGTCACATGTCCAATGTCCTTGACCTCATTTTCATGGTTCAGTGACTACTTGAAAAAAAAGTTCAGATTTTTTGTAATGTTAAATTCTCTCTTATTATAAGTAATAGGATAACTATATTTGGTATGTGCTTACCTTGCAAGGTCCTCATGCCCGTCAGACAGTTTTCACTTGACCTCGACCTCATTTCATGGATCAGGGAACAAGGTTAAGTTTTCGTGGTCAAGTCCATATCTCAGATACTATAAGAAATAGGTCTAGTATATTCGGTGTATGGAAGGACTGTAAGGTGTACATGTCCAACTGGCAGGTGTTATCTGACCTTGACCTCATTTTCATGGTTCAGTGGTTATAGTTAAGTTTTTGTGTTTTGGTCTGTTTTTCTTATACTGTATGCAATAGGTCTACTATATTTGGTGTATGGAAGGATTGTAAGGTGTACATGTCTAGCTGGCAGGTGTCATCTGACCTTGACCTCATTTTCATGGTTCAGTGGTTATAGTTGATTTTTTGTGTTTTGGTCTGTTTTTCTTATACTGTATGCAATAGGTCTACTATATTTGGTGTATGGAAGGATTGTAAGGTGTACATGTCTAGCTGGCAGGTGTCATCTGACCTTGACCTCATTTTCATGGTTCAGTGGTTATAGTTGAGTTTTTGTGTTTTGGTCTGTTTTTCTTATACTGTATGCAATAGGTCTACTATATTTGGTGTATGGAAGGATTGTAAGGTGTACATGTCTAGCTGGCAGGTGTCATCTGACCTTGACCTCATTTTCATGGTTCAGTGGTCAAAGTTAAGTTTTTGAGTTTTGGTCTTTTTTTCTAATACTGCATTCAATAGGTCTACTATATTTGCTGTATGGAATGATTGTAAGGTGTACATGTCTAGCTGGCAGGTGTCATCTGACCTTGACCTCATTTTCATGCTTCAGTGGTCAAAGTTAAGTTTTTGAGATTTGATCTTTTTTTCTAATACTATATGCAATAGTTCAACTACATTTGGTGTATGGAAATATTTTATGATCTATATGTCAGTCACGCAGGTTTTATTTGACCTTGACCTCATTTTCAAGGTTCATTGCTCAGTGTTAAGTTTTTGTGTTTTGGTCTGTTTTTCTTAAACTATAAGCAATAGGTCAACCATACTTGTTGTATGGAAGAATTGTTAGCTGTACATGCCTGCCTAGCATGGTTCATCTGACCTTGACCTCATTTTCATGGTTCATTGGTCAATGTTTAGTTTACTTGGTTAATGTTAAGTTTATGTGACAGTTGTATTAAAGCTTTATATTTAGGACTATCAACATAATATCAATGATTAGTAAAGAAGGCGAGACATTTCAGCGTGTGCACTCTTGTTTTTAAAGACGTGAGTTTAGATGATCACTCTGAAATTTATTTTTTATATAGTAGTAAAAAAATACACATCGGGATTTCAAAAGGATCAACACCAAATTATCAGTAATCATTGTGTTTCCCAATGATACACATAAGAAGAAGAGGATAACAGAATCATATTATTAGTACTGCAGCAGTGGTATGAAAAAGGATATGTACAAGCAATACAATTACACAATCGCCATATGAATTCATGAAATACATTGTATTACATTTGTATTTATTGAAGAGTTGAAACAGGGTCTAATACCTTAAGAAATACCTGTCTTATATACTTGCTGACTCTGACACTGTCGATAAACAAATATTCTCAATTTATTGAAATTAACCAAAAATTCAAAATGTGTTATTTTGTTACTTGATTTGCTTCCTTTTAATATGAGTGACATCTTATATTACTGATATTAACAATAGAAGTTGTGATTAGGTTTCTGTTTGCTATTTCCCTTTTGTTGACTAAGTACTGTACATATATGTATAGAGATTGACAGAAAATATTTTTAATGTAAAGAAATTAACTAGATAAGTCATAAATTGGTTTGTAATGTGTGCTCTCACCAAATTTAGATTCATTGCCTATTTTATTTAACAGTTTGTTTAACTATATCCAATGGGTAATTTTATCATTAGTTATCCAGAAATGTATGCACTATTAAGGAATAAAGAATATGTAGGATAAACCTCAGAGAGGCAGCAACTCAACTTTAAAAGTTTATCAAGTTATAGTGGTCACAATATTATAAACAGCACCCAAACATGAAGACAAGCATTTGAGTTAGTTAGTCCATGAACAAATTCAACTGATATTAATCCATATCAGAAATCAATGCCAAGTTCTCAAATATATACTTTACAGTAAAGATAGACAACCAAAATATCTTACAAAACTCCCAACAGTCACATGCTAGTGGAAGAGTGTAATAACTAGTTTTGTTAATACTGAAATTTCTACTAATATATTTTTATTTAATAATAGAAAAAAAAGGGAAATCATATTGTTTAAATTCTAAAAATATATTCTTTTACTGTTACTGTGCAATGACTCAAGTGTTGTTTTTTTTCTATTTTAGGAGAACACATAAAGAATTGGAGAAAAAGATATTTTATTTTAAGAAAAGATGGTTCCTTTCTAGGCTTCAGGGCAAAGCCAGAACAGGGATTTAATGACCCACTTAACGATTTTACTGTTAGAGGTAAGAAGTAGGAGATCATGTGTACTAGAGAAAAGAAGTAGGAGATCATGTGTGCTAGAGTTAAGAAGTGGGAGATCATGTGTGCTAGAGGTAAACAGTAGGAGATCATGCGTACTAGAGGTAAGAAGTAGGAGATCATGCGTACTAGAGGAAAGAAGTAGGAGATCATGTGTGCTAGAGGTAAGAAGTAGGAGATCATGTGTGCTAGAGGTAAGAAGTAGGAGATCATGCGTACTAGAGGAAAGAAGTAGGAGATCATGCGTATTAGAGGAAAGAAATAGGAGATCATGTGTGCTAGAGGTAAGAAGTAGGAGATCATGTGTGCTAGAGGTAAGAAGTAGGAGATCATGCGTACTAGAGGTAAGAAGTAGGAGATCATGCGTATTAGAGGAAAGAAATAGGAGATCATGTGTGCTAGAGGTAAGAAGTAGGAGATCATGTGTGCTAGAGGTAAGAAGTAGGAGATCATGCGTACTAGAGGAAAGAAGTAGGAGATCATGCGTATTAGAGGAAAGAAATAGGAGATCATGTGTGCTAGAGGTAAGAAGTGGGAGATCATGTGTGCTAGAGGTAAACAGTAGGAGATCATGCGTACTAGAGGTAAGAAGTAGGAGATCATGCGTACTAGAGGAAAGAAGTAGGAGATCATGTGTGCTAGAGGTAAGAAGTAGGAGATCATGTGTGCTAGAGGAAAGAAGTAGGAGATCATGCGTACTAGAGGAAAGAAGTAGGAGATCATGCGTATTAGAGGAAAGAAATAGGAGATCATGTGTGCTAGAGGTAAGAAGTAGGAGATCATGTGTGCTAGAGGTAAGAAGTAGGAGATCATGCGTACTAGAGGTAAGAAGTAGGAGATCATGCGTATTAGAGGAAAGAAATAGGAGATCATGTGTGCTAGAGGTAAGAAGTAGGAGATCATGTGTGCTAGAGGTAAGAAGTAGGAGATCATGCGTACTAGAGGAAAGAAGTAGGAGATCATGCGTATTAGAGGAAAGAAATAGGAGATCATGTGTGCTAGAGGTAAGAAGTGGGAGATCATGTGTGCTAGAGGTAAACAGTAGGAGATCATGCGTACTAGAGGTAAGAAGTAGGAGATCATGCGTACTAGAGGAAAGAAGTAGGAGATCATGTGTGCTAGAGGTAAGAAGTAGGAGATCATGTGTGCTAGAGGTAAGAAGTAGGAGATCATGCGTACTAGAGGAAAGAAGTAGGAGATCATGCGTATTAGAGGAAAGAAATAGGAGATCATGTGTGCTAGAGGTAAGAAGTAGGAAATCATGTGTGCTAGAGGTAAGAAGTAGGAGATCATGCGTACTAGAGGAAAGAAGTAAGAGATCACGTGTGCTAGAGTTAAGAAGTAGGAGATCATGCGTATTAGAGGAAAGAAATAGGAGATCATGTGTGCTAGAGGTAAGAAGTAGGAGATCATGTGTGCTAGAGGTAAAAAGTAGGAGATCATGCGTATTAGAGGAAAGAAATAGGAGATCATGTGTGCTACAGGTAAGAAGTAGGAGATCATGCGTACTAGAGGAAAGAAGTAGGAGATCATGTGTGCTAGAGGTAAGAAGTGGGAGATCATGTAGGCTAGAGGAAAGAAGCAAGAGATCATGTGTACTAGAGGAAAGAAGTAGGAGATCATGTGTACTACAGGTAAGAAGTACGAGATCATATGTACTGGAGGAAAGAAGTATCAGTTCATGTGTGCTAGAGGTAAGAAGTAGGAGATCATGGGTACTAGAGGTAAGAAGTAGGAGATCATGCGTACTAGAGGAAAGAAGTAGGAGATCATATGGGCTAGAGGTAAGAAGTAGGAGATCTTAAATAAGAGTAGGTTCACAAATGGTCAATATATAGTGGTGTTGTATTTATATCAAAATTTTCATCAAAATTTACACCTTATACAGAATAACAGCACTTTTTTCCTCCTTTTGGTAATTTTATCATTTTGATTGACTTTTATAGGATATAGCACTAGCAGTATATACCCCTATTCTACAAGTGGCACTAAATTGCAATTCCCTAGTTGATCAGTCTGTCAAAAAAATATGTTTTTCATACTTTTCTAAGTTATTTCTTAACAGAATGACTTCATATTTGATCAGCATCTTAACATTGATAACTTGTTACATGAAAGCACTTTTCAAATCTGTTAGACTCTTACTTCCTGTTTTCCAGTACTTTGAATTACAAGTAGGTGTATGCTTAGCATGACAATTTGTGCAACTATTTGAAAAAGATCAGTAATTTTTATAATGTATGACACTTAGCTTATTATAACAGAAAATGCATATTAAAAAAAAACAGGATGAGGTAACACACAATATATTCTTAAACTGTGTGAACAAAAGGAAATTGTATATATAAATGAGACAACAGTTTAACACCACCAAAAAACATTAGTCATCTAGAGGTCAATACAAGGTCTTTAACAGTCAAGATGAACTTTTGAATAAATTAAACAGAGACTATCAAAAATCAAAGAAATTTCTGAAATGACAAAAACTTTGAAATATGACAAATGGCAATTTTAAAGTTATCTACTTTAGTAATTTGCTTCATTGGGTATTCTTCATCATAAAAAATTAGACACTAGTAGGGAATGCACTGGTCTCCAAAAAGTTATCGCCAGAAAAATGGCTATCTATTTGTAAATGAAGGTAATGGTGTTATTGCTTATCATTAACAGAACATGTTGTTTATTTATATTTAAACTGAAAGTCACACATTTTAAGCCTTGAAGAACCTGCAAAACTATCAATTATGTTATAATAGTAATTAAACACCTGGAAGATTTCTTTTATCCTTATTCTATTAGTTTTTAAAGTTAAGAATATCAAACTTATAATTCCTTTGAGTTTATGGTGATTACTTTTTCATAGAGAGTCATAATGGCCATGATCACAGCCTGCAAGTTTTGATCAATCAGTTTATAATTTGTTTACACATAAGGGTCTATCAGTGACATTCATATGTTTAATTATCAAAGGAAATGGAAGCCATACACCTGACTTGTGGCACATGATTTTGGATAACATTATTTATCTGTATTGGTCACTGATATAGATTTTATTACTGTTACAGCCATGCATGGACGTTTTGACAAGGGGTAAACAGTTGTGCCATAAATATAGCTAGCAGCTGTATTTTGTTGCCAGATGAAATTTAAAATTCTATGTTCCAACATTGTTGAAGCACAGCATGACCTCTGAGTCTAGCTATAAAATATGCAGTGGTGCTGTATATTACTGAAAATGAACTTTCACTCATGACAATACATCTATCACTTATAATGTTCTTGTAATACATATATCTAATATTAAATTATATTCCATAACATTTGATTCATTATGTTTTGTACAGATTGTCAGTTAATGAGACAAGAACGTCCAAAGGCCAATACATTTATAATCCGAGGATTACAATGGACGACAGTAGTAGAAAGGATGTTCTGTGTAGAATCTCAGGAGGAGAGAGAAGAGTGGATAGCAGCTATCAATTCTATTTCAGATGAGTTGAAAAACTCTGATGAAGGAGCAGAGGGACCAGCTCTATTTGACAAATCAAAGAAAAAAGTGGTAAAGTTTATTTTCCATATTTGTAATAACCCTATATTTCTAAATTCTCTTGTTTAAGCCTTTGTAGGGTGGAGTAGGTAGGTAGGAATTTTAATTTTTTTGGCCATCAACATTAGTTACATATTTTAGACAAGTAAACAATGTTCGGGCATGAAATTTTTTTTTTTTTAAATTTTGAAAAGATTTGTGTCATAAAATTTTTTAGGTAGGCTGATTTTAGATGGGTACGTAGGCAACATCAAACAATCTTAATTTTATTTTTGGCTGTAGTGTCTTTTAAGGCTTTATAGTGCAGCTTATGTTCCTGCAGTCTGTGCCAAAATCTGTGGGTCTGGTCATCCTTGCAGACAAACTTTCAGACCACTCAATCACCTGCTCGTTTAGGTTGTTCTGTCCAGAGTTGTTTTGGCCTGATTCATAAACAGTTTCTAGCAAGACCTAAATTTTCACAGCCTAGAGATGTACTAAATTGGTTAAGTTATATATTGTCTGAAATCCTGCTTAAATTTGTTATATATTACTTTAAAGGACTTAATATTTGTCATTATTTTTCATTATCTTTTTTGCAATCGCCAACTTTCAATCAGACACGAATGAGCAGTCCCTTAAAATTGTATAGATCAGGACCTCATTTCATGGATCGGTGATCAAGGTTAAAGTTAATGGTTAGTAAAATTAAGAAGATGTGGTATGAGTGCCAATGAGACAACTCTCCATCCAAGTCACAATGTGTAAAAGTAAACAATTATAGGTCAAAGTTCGGCCTTCAACACAGAGCCTTGGCTCACACTGAACAGCAAGCTATAAAGGGCCCCAAAATGACTAGTGTTTCACAGATACTACAAGCAGTAAGTCAACTATATTTGGAGTATGGAATTATTATTAGGTGTACATGTCCATTTTGTTGGTTTCACCTTGACCTCATTTTCTTGTTTTAATATTGATTCAGTTTTTGTGCTTTGTTCTGTTTTTCAAATATTATAAGCAATAGGTCAACTATATTTGGTGTATGGAATTATTATTATACCCCTGCTTTAAAAAAGGGGGGGTATACTGTTTTACCTCTGTCTGTCCTTCCGTCAGTCCATCCGTCCGTCCCATGAATATTTTCGTCGCATTTTTCTCAGGAACTACTGGACAAGTATTTCTGAAATTGGGTTTCAGGGTTTATATAAGTAAGTTACACTGTGTGATGCGTTTTCAGATTTATCACTCAACAACTTCCTGTTTACCCAACACTTGTATTATTTTACACATGATAGCCAAGTTGAAAATTTTCATCGCATTTTTCTCAGGAACTACTTGACAAGGATTTCTGAAATTGGGTTTCAGGGTTTATATAAGTAAGTTACACCGTGTGATGCGTTTTCAGATTCATCACTTAACATAATTCAGACCCAGCCAAACTTAAATTGTTTTAACAGGTCAGGAGGTCCAGTAACAAATATTTTTTACTGGACCTTCATTGCTGTTACAGGACCTACTTATTATCACAGGTGAGCAGCACAAAGCGCTGCGAACTTGCTAGGGGGGTCTGGCGGCATGCCCCCCCCCCCCCATAAATTTTTTGAAAAATTAGATGCAAAATCCTGCATTCTGAGTGCTTTGACTATGATAAATGAAGTAACCAAAACTACTATCTTGTACTACACTTTTGCATGTTTAATCACATTGAATAAAACTTCATTTTTTAAGACTTTATCTAAATTTATTCCTCTTTGGCATAATGTAGTATTTTATTTGAGTTCATGGATTCATCCTGTACTTTCATCATCGGCCTTCCGTTTATGACCAGGTACGGCACCATCATAAAAACGGAGGAAACTCATGTTATTGTTTACAACATGTGTTTCCGGCACATGCGTAATGAACCGGGGAAAAAAGAAATGCCGGAAACTGATGCAGCGGACATGACAATCGAGATGCAAAATCTTCAAAATATTCAAATTGAAAGGGTTTTAGCAGTAGGGGACAAGCCAGTGAGCCTTAAAATCGTCTTATAATATGTTTTAAAAAAAAAAAAGTCACATTAGAAATGCCGATTTTCAGGGAATGCATAAAATAGTTGACAAGAAAATCTCACCGCGTGTCAATGGAAGCGTGATTTCATTGGCTGCTTTTTATATTATTGCATTCTGATTGGGTTACTATTTGTGTTGCCCATATATCTCTATAAATATGACTAGGGTATTTCCGCGATCCTAATTAATATAAGGACAATTGTTTTTCATTGATCTCGGGAGGAAAACAATATTTTGTGATTGATATAGCAGCACATTTTTCCCAATTTTAATATTGCATGCTGCAAAAAATGTACAGGACAGGACAGGAGGTCCTGTAGTTCACAGAATGGTGGCTGAACTTCAAGTTTTTTACAGGTCATGACCTGTGGTCCGACGATGTTTGGGTTGGTCTGCTTAACAACTTTCTGTTTACTGAACACTTGTATTATTTTACACATGATAGCCAAGTTGAAAATTTTCGTCACATTTTTCTCAGGAACTACTTGACAAGGATTTCTGAATTTTGGTTTCAGGGTTTATATAAGTCAGCTTTACCGTGTGATGCGTTTTCAGATTCATCACTCAACAAATTCCTGTTTACCGAAATATTACGGCGGGGGTATCATCAGTGAGCAGTAGCTCACAGTTTTACTTGTTGTAAGGTGTATATATCTGTCTGGCAGGTATAACTCATTTTCATGGTTCATTGGATTTGTGTGACCTTGACCTCAAAATTGTCATAGACCTTTAAAAATGTTAAGGTTATGTGATACTTTTAGTAAAACCTTTATCTTTAAGACTTTCAACATAAAATCAATGGTCAGTGAAGCAGGCAAGACATTTCAGTGTGTGCACTCTTGTTTTTTTTTTATCAGTAAGCATTTAGGTACTGTCTGTGGTTAAATATTTAAAACTGAATAACTTTGTCAAACCTTTGTGGAATTTTATAAAACTTTGACAGAAGCTTCTTCATAATCAATAGGTAGCACCCCTGTTCTATATTTTGCTGAAAAATGAACTGGGTTTTATGCTATGCAATATGACCCTTTTTCGTTGACTGACATCAACAGTCACAGAAGAGACGCAGGGTTCCATGGGACCTTTTTCAATTTTTCCATTAAAACTAAAACTAAAAGCAATAGAAACTAATAGAACTTCATGTGACTTGATTCATTCAGTATTTTGTGATGTTTTTTATCGAGTTTCCCCTCATATCTTTTATTTCAGTCATTAGATGACTTTGAGTTTTTGAAAGTACTAGGAAAAGGAACATTTGGAAAAGTCATTCTTTGTAAAGAGAAGGTCACAGGTCATCTATTAGCAATCAAAATATTAAAGAAGCAAGTAATCATTCAAAAGGTAAGTGCAGCTATTGTAAAAATTCTTTTATTTTTCATTCTGATCTTCTTGTAGTTTTAGGCATGGAAATCTATTAACTTATGAAATTTATTAGAATGAAAAAAAACTTTTAAAAAAATTGATTATGGATGATTCAGTGATTTCATGTACACAAGTTAAAAAGTCAATCCATGATAATTAAAAGGTTGATATGCATGAACATTTCTGTTTTAGTATTTTACTTGTATGATTTATCATTGATAATTTCCTCCACTTTTTTGTTAAAGGAAAAATTCAGAATTTCAACTTATTCGCTTGTAAATTACATTGCACAATCTCAACATTGAATACTAGTTAAACAGGTCTGGGCCATTTAGTAACATATTAAAACAGTGATCCCACAAAGTATCCTCATTTCTGAATTGGCATTGATGCTAATGACATTTACAAATACCTGTTTCTGCATCTGACATGAATTGAAGTTTGTTCAGCGATCCTAATTGAAAGAAATTGCTTTTCATTTGTTATAGATATTTACATGCTAAATGTAATGTACATACTAATAGAATACATTGTCTTAAGTTTTTCCATTATTGATGACTATAAGCATGTTTCTGCTTTGTGAATTTATACATTATGAATTTTGTTTTAATAGGATGAAGTTGCACATACTTTGACTGAAAACAGAGTATTACAGACAACAAAACATCCATTCTTAACAGTAAGTTGTTAACAGTACAATCAATAGATTTTTAGCAATACTCACTTATTAGATTTTTTTTTAATTTTCTTCCGATTGTTTACCTTTTAGCAGTGATACAGGACCTGATGTTTGGTCTAGAAGAATTTGTATTTTGATCCTGTCACATGACTTATCCTTTCTTTTTGTCCAGATTTCTTAGAAGATATCTTTTTGGAAGATTTCAGATTTTCCATAACTGTCTGCTGCTATTTTGAAATAAAAGATGAGCAATGTTTAAGGAATGACTGTAATATTTTTTCTGTATGTGAAGAAATAACATAAAAAATGTGGTGCACACTGCGTAGTGGGTTATTTAAAAGTGCACCACGTTTTTGAGGTTATTTTGAATAGACAGAAAAAATATTTAAGTCATTCCTAATAATTTAATTCTAAATTCAATATTAAGGAGTAAATCACGAAAAAACGTTGATGACATCATGGTCCCATGACAAAATTAGGAATATGAGCTGATAGACAAAAAACTTTTAGCCAATCAGAAGATGTGTTACATCCAAAAAATAAATTATTAGAAAATATATACAGGAACTATCCAAAAAACATCTTGTAAAATAAAATTATAAACACTTTCTTTGTCATTTCTTTTATATAGTGGTATGATCAAACATCAGAAATGAAAATGGTAAAAATTTTAACATTGGGCTTGTTTCTTGTATTTTCCTCCTCTTTAAAAAAAAAAAAAAGCACTTTTGTATGTCTTTTGTGTGATATTTGAATTACATATGATTATTCTTATAGAATAATTTTACTTTGCTATCTGTTTCTTTTGATTGATATGTAAAATATTTGATTAAGTATATTTCTAAAGACATATAATGTTCTTTTCAGCAATTGAAGTACTCATTCCAGACAACAGATAGGTTATGTTTTGTTATGGAATATGTAAATGGTGGTGAACTTTTCTTTCATTTATCACGAGAACGTGTGTTTTCAGAAGAAAGAACAAAATTTTATGGTGCAGAAATAATTTCAGCATTAGGATATTTACACGAAAATAATATTGTTTATAGAGATCTGAAGGTGAGTTTGTTTGTCCTGAGGTGTGAAGGATGCTAAAATGTCTCCACACAAGATGTTTTTGTTTTTTGTGTGACATTTGAATCTATTAGCAGTTTATATGGTTTCAATTAAAGGATTTAAGAGTTGTTTATTTAAATGAGTTCTTAGCTATCAGTGAAAGGTGAGGCACACAGTAAAAGGCAATTACTTGAAATTTAGTTGTAGGTGTGCACTCCAGATATTAAAGTATGAGGAACAATGGACCCTTATTATGAAAATAAAAGTCCACTGCTGATTTGGAAGCACCATTCAAATTTATAAAACCAGTATTCATAAAGCCATGGGCCCCTGAACCTTAGGATTCAGTAGTCAACATTGGAAACAGGCAAATATTTCTAGTACCTAATTGAATGAAAACTGAATAGCTGCATGGTACAGTTTAGTTTAAGCAATAATGATACCTTGGTATTTTTTTTTAAACTATCAGATAATCTGAAATAACCATAATATCATTGATATTCAAGACTGGAATAATTGTGAAAGAAAGGAGAACAAAGAAAATACATAATATTACCCTAATTTTTATACGGCCGCAAAAAAATTTTGCGGTCGTATATTGGTATGACGACGTTGTCCGAAGACACATTGGTTTTCGCACAATAACTTTAGTTTAAGTGAATGGATAAATTTTACCATAAGGTTCAATACCACAAAAGGAAGGTTGGGATTGATTTTGGGGGTTATGGTACCAACAGTTAAGGAATTAGGGGCCAAAAATAAGCATTTTTCTAGTTTCCAGACAATAACTGGTGGAACGGTGTATGGATCTCTCTGAAATTATATCACAAAGGTATGGTAAGGATTTGCTTTGGGGGGTTATGGCTCAAACCGTTAAGGAATTAGGGGCAAAAAAGTGAGAAAAAACAAGGGTGTCCTGGTTAATGGACAATTACTTAAGTACAAATTACAGTATAAGGGAGGTAATTCAAAAACTACTTTGAATTACCTACCTTACACTGCTTTTAAATTATGTATAAATAATTTTTGTATTGTCTTGAGGTGATTAGCTGTCAATTCATTTTTAGAAGTTACTATTTTAGTTATTTTAAAAATGCTGATTAAGGTAAATTAATTTTAGCTATGATTATGTATGTCATTTTCTATTTTAAGATTTTTATGATGTATTTAAATGGGTTATTATGGTTTTAAACTCCATTGGAAATTTGAATTGAAATTTTGACCATGACTGAGGAAAAGATTTTTTTTGGGGAAAAAGAGGGGGGGGGGAGGAGATTAAAAAAAATTAGGGCGGGGGGGACAATTTTTTCTCCTCAAGATTTCAGAAATCAAAAAGAAAATCCTTCAATTTTTTTTTTTTTTGAAAAGGGGGGGGGGGGGGGGGTCAATTGGCAACAGCATAGTGTATTGCACAAAAGCCAAACATTGAATATAAATTCAAATCATATAACCAATTCTAAGTTCTTTGACTACAGTTGTTCTGTGTCAGAAACCTATTATGTGTCAAATATTGAATTACAATCCAAATTCAGATCTGTATCAAGCATGAATATTGTGTCCATTTTTGCCCCAACTGTTCAGGGTTGGACCTTTGCGGTCGTATCCAGCTGCGCTAGGCAAAGCAATTTATTATATCTACACACCTTAATGCATTGTCTCATAACAAATCCAACCAATATTTGTATTTTAAATGGTACAAGATTAATGAAACTTGTGCTATTAATTAAGTTTCAGTTGTACTTGTACTTCTACTTCTACCATATAGTGACCGCCTTCAACAAATTGACGATTATGTCACAGGAGGATAACTTACAACAAGACATAGATTAATATATATACAAATTAGAAATAGATGCAAAATACAATATGTATTATATGTTTTAAGTACATAAGGTTTTTGTCCTTTCCATCAATGTGTTTCTCTGTTTTAACACCTATTTTTTTCATTTTAAGGAATCCTTCTGTTTACTTAAGATGACAGAACTAATTTATACCACATGTCATTGTTCACCGGAAATTTTGTATGAGATTGATTTATTAGGTTTCCCTTAGAAAAACATGGACATGTCCTTTTCATATGTAAGGAAATTTGTCACCACTCATTTCCTACATAGAAATTGAATGAAATTTAAAAAAATCGCTTCATATAAGTGCACAAATGTACATTTCACAGTTATGTGTAGAGAAATCCTTGATACCTATATATGGATTGGCATACTCTGCTTTATAGAAATAAATGTTAAATATTTGTCAAAATTACAATTGAGACTTGTGAATAACCCTTGGAGTCTTTAGCCATATGCATATCATGACCCATATTTCATGAAATAAAAGAGTATCATGTCAACATGCTAAATTCCATACTTGTGTGACCTAAATCTAAATGATAAAGAATTGCATTTTGGGTCACGTAAGTTGTAGGATCATCATTTCTTAAAAATAGACACTGCTTAGAGGGAATATAAGAATGCAGTTAAAACAATGTCATGTAAATCAAAAATTATATGGTTCTCTTTATATAAGTTCACATATTTCGTACTTTGAGACCTTGAAAGGATCATCTGATCTCTTTAGTAAAAAAGTCATTATCCAAACAAAGACCCAATTGGTTTGCTCTACTTAAATGCATTACTTCTATTTATATCAAAGTTTCATTCTTCTATGCTTTTTTATGTGTATCAGATATCTGGAAATGTTAATTTTGGCTGTTATGGCGTAAACTTGGACGTAAACAACTAAGATAGAATACAATATACCCAAATCCCTATTACAAAACTGTTTTGCCCGAAAAATTATCAGCCATGTCACCTTTTCAAGGTTGTATTCTAAACCCTTGGCAAGCAATTATCAGTTATGAACAGGAAGACAATTTTCACCAGTGTTTGAAACACCTGTCAGTAATCATTATTTAGGAACATAACGACAATTTACTTTGTGGTTTAAGAAAAGTGTAAATCATAAATTACATTCTGTGAATTATTGTTTTGATTTATTACCTTGTAAAAAAGATTTCTGACACTGGTTGATTTTGTGGTATTTATTTACAACTATTAAGAACGCATAAAACTTATAGCTTAAAATTGATTTTAAATTGACGTATAAATGTCTAAAATATATAATATGGAACCAAATGTGATTGCAGTGATAGCAAATTATAATCAATAAACATTTTTTCAATATTGTCCACAAATCACTTTTAATTGAAAAGAAATTATGACCCCCAAAAAATTTATTGGAGGTCTATTCTTACCTGCCTGATGAACTATGGATGAAAGTACATGTAACCCAACTTTCAGGCATTGATGAAGACCAAAATGTTTTGAAAAAAATAAACCTTTGCGTGGAATATTCTTATTGCAACAGCTAGTATGTCAGTTAGTGTTTAGGCAAATTTAAACCAGTTTGACATACTGACACTTTTCATGCTTTTCCTAATTTTACAAAAGGATCTTAACTTGCAATAGGTGATGTTAGTAAAAAGGTGATCATCTAGGCTAAAGTAAATCTGTTTAACCTACTTTTCACGCTGTACAGACTTTGATTCATTGTACATTAATGCCAATCTCTGTTGTTTTAGTTTGTAAGATCATCTCAAGTTGTGTTATGGGGCACTTTAGTTTTCAAACAGTTTTTACATTGCCATGTCATATATCTTTTAAAAGAGGCCTTGGCCAAATACATGTATGGACTTAATTCCTTCAGTGAAAGTTTTAAATTATATGGTAATTTGTTTCAATTCCTTTACTGCATTTTCTGTGAAAAAGTTGTCAAATCCACATGTAGAAGAAAAACAGACAACACCATGGTCTACCGAAAAAAGGACAAGTAGACAAACAATGTTCCTCAAGGTCTACACAGAAAATAACAGATTGAACAACTCTAACCTTATAAAATCCAATGATAAACTCAGATGCTTTAATAAGATTGAACAGCTTTTTCTCCACTAGTCATGATAGTGGTACTAATTGTGTTACTCATAGCAAGCAAAAATCTGGTCATGAGTTGCATTTGATGATGTCATAAACACATGTAACATAGCTTATAAAAAAAACTACATTGTATATTGGAAATGTAGATTGCACCAGTAAAATAACACCATGAAACACTAAGAAGTGACCTAATTATCAAAGGAACAAGGCTTTAATTGCTGTTCTTCATCTTGGCAGTTGCCAGATTGTCTTCAGCAATGAAATGATTAATTATATAATGAGCTTACGTACTTCAGCAAATATAAACATACTTTAAAATAAGGTCTTACAATTATCTTGTGCAGTATCTGAGACAACTAAGTAATTTCCAGAAATTTAATAATTCAGGTCATTTCTATTTTTTGGTTAGTTATTTGGATGAATTAAACTGAATATCAAATTTTAATTTCAGTTAGAAAATTTGTTGTTAGATAAAGATGGACATATCAAAATAGCTGATTTTGGACTTTGTAAAGAAGAAATGTTTTATGGAGCTAGTACGAAAACATTTTGTGGTACTCCCGAGTATTTGGCTCCTGAAGTAAGTATTGAATGATATTATTGTAAACTTACAAATATTTTTTAGTTATGCAATTTAATGGGATTTTAATTTTGTTTTTATTTAAGTTAATTAATCTTCATTTTTTTTAAGCAACCACTACTCTTGTATGGTGACTTAATCTAAGTTTGTGGTGGCTACTTTGTTTGTGAAAAAAATACAAATGAGAACAATAAATTGTGTTTTACTGTGCTTAAATTCAAAAGGTTTAGTCCTTTCACAATAACAAAGGGCAAACATGTTTTTCCAAGTTGCAGTTTGAGATCATATCTTCAAACTGATCAACTGGTGAAAATCTTTAGCCCATTGCAAGTGAAAGGTTAGTATGAAGCAAGTGCAGAAAAAAAAATATCTTAGCATCAAATTCTGAAGATTAAAGGAAAAAATATAAAAGAGGACTAGGCATACAAGTTATCACAGTTAAACTGTACATTATTTGACCAGAGTGTTGTGAATTCATTTGCATACATTGTTACCTAGATAGAATAATGAAAAAGTGTTGCAATAGTGATTATAATACAGAAACGTTTGTCCTGACAGTATTGTACCAGTTTTCATGCTCTGTGGTAATGTGCTAACCTTAAGGATGGGAAATTTTCCGTTCCAAAAATGGCAGGGGCAAACAGAATAATAGTATTGTGTTAAAAAAAAAAAGAAAAATAGTAGTTTATAAATTGTTATGTTGATATGAATTTTCTGATTCTCAGTATGCCATTTTTGTCCATGTTATTTATGCTGCACAGATTTACGTCCTTTTGGACCAATAAAAATCTCAAAACTAGAAGAGAGTCAGATAATCCAACAGCATTTCTAAATTGGTTCATAACAAGAAAATATGTGTATAAAGAATATGTTGGCAATCTTCGTGTAAAATGTGAAATATAAGATTGTATGTACTGTAAATTAAGAATTAAATGTGTGCATTTATTATTGAGAACCTTACACATTAAATAAATGACAGTTATGAGAGATTAGTAAATATGATTCCTGCAAAAGATGTAATAGAATTTTGTGATCATTATCATCTTGATTTTTTTGTATTTATAAGAACAACACATTCGTTTCTGAATATAAAGAAATATATATTTTTTGTATCAATTGTATTTTATGTTTTTAGGTTTTAGAAGACAATGATTATGGTCGAGCAGTAGATTGGTGGGGCACAGGTGTTGTTATGTATGAAATGATGTGTGGACGTTTACCTTTTTACAATCGTGATCATGATGTTTTATTTGAACTTATATTGTTACAATCAGTGCGGTTTCCAAGGACATTGTCAGAAGATGCCAAGAGTCTTCTTGAAGGGTTTTTAAAGAAAAATCCACATGAAAGGTTGGTATTAATGAATGTTTTGAAAATCTGTTAATTTGGGAAAAATCTTAAAGCTATTAGTTATGCTTGATAAATGCAGGGTTCATTATATACTTTATAGAAAACTTATCTAGACAAATATCAACTGCATATGCATAATAATAGTTTTAAAAATTGTGGTTGTCATTGAAATATGGAGGTATTGCAAAAAAGTGTTTCTCTCTGTCTTCCAACATTTGATAAGAGTTTTCCAATGTTTTGCTGAATATCATTGTAATTGTTTCATGAATGCTATAATTGTCAATCTACCTTATTCACCATCAATAAGTTGACTAAATTTTAAGAAGTGTTTAGAAAGTGGCATTATATATATAGACCAACAGACCAACTATAAATAGAAACCTCTCTCATTCATTGCTTCATAGAACTCTCTACATTTTACAATTTTTCTTACAAGAAAAAAGAAAAGAACAGTTGCTTTACCATCCTTTCAACCTAATGCCATGCAGTATGCCATGCTTCAGTGAAATTGTACTGTTGATAAAATATTGATTAAAGTTCTGCTGTTGTATAAGCATCAATATACAGAATATGAGGTCCCACTCATCTGTCTTCAATAAGTGATGATTTTGATATTTACATTGTTCAAGTTTCAAGATAAGAAGTACTTTTATAGACTTTACATTGATTAATAATATGCTGTTGCATTAGTGAAGTGGGCATTAAGTGCTACCCTTGTTTGTCTGTACATCCATCCGGAAATTGGTTTCCCTTCTCAAACTTTTGTTTACGCTATGAAACTTATACACAATGCTTATTACCACAAAAAAACAGATCAAGTATGAATTTGGGTGGCGTCTCTTTTACCGTTCTTGAGTTAGGCCCCTTTACTAATGGAAAAATTGCTGCATTTTCATTTCCATTCTCTAAATTAAATGTGCCTCAACTACATGTAAATACACAATGCCTATTACCACGAAACTCAGATCAAATTTGAATTTGGGTAGCGTCAATTTTACAGTTCTTGATTTATGTCCCTTTATAACATTATATGCAAGTGTGGGAATGTCCCATGGACACATTCCCCATTTATTTATCCTGTCAAACTCATATTAAATAAAAAAAGTTTCATATCTTGACAATTTGTTATTTTAGACTTGGAGGAAGTGAACAGGATGTAAAAGAAATTATAGCACATCCATTCTTTAAAACAGTTAACTGGCAGGACTTAGTTGAGAAGAAGGTAGGTGTATTTTGTGTGGTCTGTCTTTTGTCAGAATTTCTTTTTCCACTTAGAATACATTAAAGGATAAATAGTTTTTCAAACATTTTTCTTTACAATGGAGAAGGAGAAGTTAGACCAAAAAAAAGGGTATAATTTAGTACAAACTTAAAAAACTGCTAAAAATGTAGTTCTTCATATTTTGAATAAAAAAATCCTCATTACTGCATCAATAAAATGTATGATGTTAGATAACTACATAACTGTTACATATTTTCATTTAATAATTGAAATTGATCTATCAAAATATCCATAGATGTCACATGATTATGGTAAAAAATATCAGTTTTTATACGACTGCAAAAAATTTTTGCGGTCGTATATTGGTATGACGTTGGCGTCGTCGTCACCCGAAGACACATTGGTTTTCGCACTCTAACTTTAGTTTAAGTGAATGGATCTCTTTGAAATTTTACCATAAGGTTCAATACCACAAAAGGAAGGTGGGGATTGATTTTGGGGGTTATGGTACCAACAGTTAAGGAATTAGGGGCCAAAAATAAGCATTTTCTAGTTTCCAGACAATAACTGTGGAACGGTGTATGGATCTCTCTGAAATTATACTACAAGTTTCCATACCACAAAGGGATGGTTAGGATTTGCTTTGGCGGGTTATGGCTCAAACCGTTTAGGAATTAGGGGCAAAAAAGGGGGAAAAACAAGGTTGTCCTGGTTAACGGACAAATACTTTAGTACAAAACATAATTTAAAGCAGTGTAAGGGAGATAAATCAAATACATCATTGAAATTATCTCCCTTACACTGCTTTTAAATTATGTATAAAGTAATGGTAAATGAACAATTAAGATAATTTAAAACAGTGTAAGGGAGGTAATCCAAATACAACGTTTTGGTTACTTCCCTTACACTGCTTTTAAATTATGTTTAAAGAAATGCATATTTATAAAGGAAGACCAGTAAAAATATCTGCAAATGTTGCATCTTTTTTTTTTATATGAAAGATTTGACACTATATTTTAAATTCTATTATAAAATAGATTAAGTTAGCACTATGGTAAATTTAAATGGGTAATTATGGTTGCAAACTCCATTGGAAATTTGAATTGAGATTATGACCATATCTTGAGGGAAAGATTTTTTGGGGGAAAAAAGGGGGGGGGTGGTAAAAAGAAATTGTGGGGGGTCAATTTTTTCTCATTTCAGATTTCAGAAATTAAAAAGAATTATTCTTCAAATATTATTTTTTTTTCAAATTTCAAATATTGAAAAATTTCAAGAAGTAATCTTTAATTGCACAGTATGGCGCATTAGATTTGTAAAATCTTTGACCACATTTATTTATTTGTTATGCCGAATCTAACCGTGTATTTAGATTTTTAATTTTGGGTCCAGTTTTCAAATTAGTCTACATTAAGGTTTAAAGGGTCCAAAATTAAACTTTGTTTGATTTTAACAAAAATTGAATATATGGGGTTCTTTGATATGCTGAATCTAAACATGTATTTAGATTTTTGATTTTTGGCCCAGTTTTCAAGTTGGTCCAAATTGGGGTCCAAAATTAAACTTTGTTTGATTTCAACAAAAATTGAATATATGGGGTTCTTTGATATGCTGAATCTAACCATGTATTTAGATTTTGTGGACCCCGCTATCAAATTGGTTCATATTGAGGTCAAAAGGGTCCAAAACTAAACTTCATTTGATTTCATCAAAAATTGAATTATTGGGGTTCTTTGATATGCCAAATCTAACCGTGTATTTTGATTTTTAATTTTGGGTCTTGTTTTTTAAATTGGTCTACATTAAGGTCCAAAGGGTCCAAAATTAAACTTAGTTTGATTTTAACAAATTTGAATTCTTGGGGTTCTTTGATATGCTGAATCTAAACATGTGTTTAGATTTTTGATTATGGGCCCAGTTTTCAAGTTTGTCCAAGTTGGGGTCCAAAATAAAACTTTGTTTGATTTCAACAAAAATTGAATATATGGGGTTCTTTGATATGCTGAATCTAAACATGTATTTAGATTTTAGATTTTTGGCCCAGTTTTCAAGTTGGTCCAAATTGGGGTCCAAAATTAAACTTTGTTTGATTTCAACAAAAATTGAATATATGGGGTTCTTTGATATGCTGAATCTAACCATGTATTTAGATTTTGTGGACCCCACTATCAAATTGGTTCATATTGAGGTCAAAAGGGTCCAAAATTAAACTTTGTTTGATTTCATCAAAAATTGAATTATTGGGGTTCTTTGATATGCCAAACCTAACTGTGATTTTAGATTTTTAATTTTGGGTCCCGTTTTTTAAATTTATCTACATTAAGGTCCAAAGGGTCCAAAATTAAACTTAGTTTGATTTTAACAAAAATTGAATTCTTGGGGTTCTTTGATATGCTGAATCTAAACATGTGTTTAGATTTTTGATTATGGGCCCAGTTTTCAAGTTTGTCCAAGTTGGGGTCCAAAATAAAACTTTGTTTGATTTCAACAAAAATTGAATATATGGGGTTCTTTGATATGCTGAATCTAACCATGTATTTTGATTTTGGACATTGGACCATAATAGGTAAATTAAAAAAATTCAAGTTCTTAGACCACATTCTTTCTGTGTCAGAAACCTATGCTGTGTCAAATATTTAATCACAATCCAAATTCAGAGCTGTATCAAGCTTGAATGTTGTGTCCATACTTGCCCCAATTGTTCAGGGTTCGACCTCTGCGGTCGTATCAAGCTGCGCCCAGCAAAGCATTTTATTCATTATAATTTAACATTGATTTATCAGTTAAATATTAAAACAACCAAATTACTTTCCACTGCAAAAGTGAAATTTAGTTAAAAACAAATTTGGATCAGTTTTAGCTATAACACCTTATAAGCTCACCTGGCCCACAGGGCCAGGTGAGCTTATGCCATTACTTGGCGTCTGTCGTTGTTCATTGTCTGTCGTCGTCGTAAACTTTTTCAAGAATCTTCTCCTCTGAAACTACTGGGCAAAATACCTTCAAACTTTAGCTGAATGTTCCTTAGGGTACCTAGTTTATGAATTGTATCTGAAGTTTTGATCAAAACATGGCCACTGTTTCTCAAATTAGAACATAGGGGTCAAATGCAGTTTTTGGCTTATATCTCAAAAACTAAAGCAGTTAGAGCCACTGTGAAAAGGAGTTAAAGTGATGAATAGGTCAAGATCTATCTGCTATGAAATTTTCAGGCCAATTGGAGAACCAATTGTTGGGTAACTGTCAGAAGTAGTTTGTTTTTAGAAATTTTATTTTTTGGTTATTATCTTTAAAATTATAGTAGATAGAAAGTGTAAAAGAGAAAAATATTCAGCTAAGTAAGATCTACAAATATATGATCAAGTTATCAATTGACCCCTTAAGGAGTTATTGCCCTTGAAACACAATTTTTTACATTTTTTGTGCGTCTATTACTTTCTATTACAAACTAAAGCAGTTAGAGCAAAAGTGACAGGAGTATTGAATAGATTAAGATCTATCTGCAACAAAATGTTTAGACCAATTTGCCAACCCGTTGTTGGGTTATTTTTTGGGAGAAATTATAGTTTTGGTTATTGCCTTGAAAGATTTTTTTTTTTTACAATTTTCTTGTTGAATCATTACTTTTTCTCTGAAATATTTCAAGAGAGGTAATTGAACTAATTATGACATGTGGGATCCTTGAGTGAATTGACTCACATTTCTATGCAATTATCTCAGAATGCTAGATACTATCCATGTCCACTGTTGATTGAAATTATACCTGGAATTTCTATTCAGTATTTAGCTTAGAAATTATATCTAAAATATAATGCATTGTAAAACATGGCTGCTATTGCCAAGAAAGAACATAGTAGTAAAATACAGTTTTTATATTTCATCTCTTTAAGCACCAAGGAAAAAACTTACAGAATAAATATGATCAACAATTTAAAATCTATCTGCAGTGAGATTGCAGACAAATCATTTTTTTTTTATTTTGAGGCAAATATGACCAAAACAAAGAATTTTTAAGTGGCATTTTTTTTAAGCAAACACCGATATACATTAAAAAGCAAAAATGTAAATCATGATTGATGAATGAATTGAGCAAAAAAATTCAGGTGAGCGATTCAGGCTCTTGAGAGCCTCTTGTTCTTATTGTTAAATCAATGTGAAAGTTTTGGCCAAAGAACAAGAGTTCTAGATAAAACCATTATATCGAACACCTCAAAACAGGAACTTTAAGCAAGAGAATCAGCATAATTGTAAATATACCAAATGTGAATAAATGGATGATAGCGTTATTATTTGATTCTGAATTTCTCTGTTGGTGTTCATTCAGAGAAACCTCACACTTATTGCCTAAGAAAAGTTATCAATTTTATTGAGTAACACAAGTATAGATTAAGTATTAAAATGAAATGCCTGAAAGTAGATATGGATGGTATGATTGACCTTTGTATTGTGTAAAACATTTGATATTGTAGTTATAAATGATTTATTCATGCAACTGATGTTTTTCTTTTATGTATGAACATGAAAATGTACTGATTTTTCACATATAGATATGTTTCGTTATGACATAATATGAATTTGAGTTATTTCCCTTGGGTGCTATTTTGGCGGGCAAAAGAGTTGATTTTCCAATTTGAGGAATCAAATTGAAACATGCTGTACAAATAAATCTGATAAAAGTCCCTTACTAGATTGTAGTGATGAATCTAGCAAGAGTAAAAGAAATTAAAATTGTTCAGAAATAACAAGTTGAATTTGGCTGATTTATGAAGGAATTTGTGCATTTAGACTTCCAGCATGTTGACAAAAATGAAGTAACTCTTGCTCAAATTTTGTCAATCGAAACCTTCTATTAATACAGATATAATGCATTTAATTTTCTACATAGGTTAGATTTTGTCTAAAGATAACTTTATACTCAATAATAAGACAACAGAATTATGCTTTATTTTGAACAAAATCTGTTTTCTGTAATCTTAGCTTATATTTTAAAATATGAGGTT